TCCCGTGCGCTCAATTCTACTATGAAAGTGATGAGGATAAGCCTATCATGAAACGACTCTTAGAGGTTATGTGCTATGAATTCATATTATTGGGTGTACTTTTGACCTTATTATTGGTTGGATTTACATATCTTGGAACCGCAAGGATACCCGTTCATACAATAACTCAAACTTTTGATAGTTAGATTTCAGCTACATTCCCCATTGTATTGAGCAATTATGCCTTCAATTAGGTATCAAATGCATTACAATTAGATTGAAAGTGATACTAATGTAGAGATTGCAGTGTCCTTTCCTGTGTTTTTGATGGGGTTCTTGGCATTTATTGGATGGTTTTTATTAGTGTTGTTTGGTGGAGTTGGTCTTTCTGCACTGCCTATAGATTTAATTTAGGAATACATCAGCAGACCTAAATTAATGAAATCGTCTGAGGCCATGGAAAAAAAGATGAGATTAAAGAAACAAGCAGTTGAGTTGATATAATTTGGCTAATAAATTCAAGAGGAAGAAAAAGAGTTGGCTTTAGTAAATGGATTTATGGCAGAGCGAAAAGTCAAAAATCAAATTAAATAAAAAGCTAAAAAGTTTTAGGCTGCAACTGAATCACTTGAGAATGAACATGAAATATTTAGAATGGAATTAGAATATTAGAAAGTCAATCCTGTCGTTTGGGTTTTCAAACTCATTTTAGGAATTATATTCATAATTTTATCTTTGTTATGGATTTTATAAATGTATTACGTTCTACTATTATTAATTAGATTGTTGTATATGCTCATTAAAATCAATGGATTTCCAGCTTATAGTTTTTTAAATAAGATGTTCATTTATTTAGAGGGAACTGTGATGTCATTTATTGGTACAATTTTATTAGCTCTCTTTACCTTGTATTTATTGGGTTGTACTTATAAGGGCAACTTGAAATTCGGACTCAGAATTCCTTTTCTCTTTACAATCTATCCTATGAAAGTGAACGAGACATTTATGAACAGTTTCCTTTTCAACGCAAATCTATTACTAATTACTTCAGTTGCTGTTACTCAATTTAGCATACAAGCCTTTTCAGAATACACTTAAAATTCACAAATCGCTTTGATGTTCTTGGGTTAGATCCAATATTTATATTTCTTCACTTGGTTCTTTGATTATAATGTGTTTGTAATAGCATTACTCTCCTGGACTGGGATAGTTTTAATCTATTTGCTTGTAAGGAAACCACCTAAGCCTTATGCTTTAGTAGAAATCGAAAAAAGGAAGACCTAAGATTTTGAATTATAAAAAAAATGAATAGCATTACACTGCTTAGATATCCGCTGTCTAATTTACTCTATATACAATTAATCCAATTGCAATATTATATTAAATTTCAATTTCTTTCTTCCTTCTAAATCCCTCAATGACCATCGAATTTCTGATGTAGAACTTATACACTGTATGTGTTATGCAAATATTCGTATGAAATTAAGGGTACAAATTTATTTATAAATTTTAGTACCTCAACTGAATTAATAAATATTCCATTTGAAATATTACAGAATCGAGAATAAATAATTTTAGTTGTGATTTATATATAAATTTCCTAAATAATTCTAGCAATAGATGATGAGAATCTAATATAAAAATTCAGATATTAAAAAAATGAAAAATTAGAATAAATTAGAGATTCTTTCTATATATCCCAATGATAGTGATTCTTAAGAGATATATCCCCTATATGACATAGAGTTAGCAAGAATTTTTGATACCGAAGACTTTTTATAATAAACATTGTACACTATAATTCGACAATGCTATGGCAATAGGAATTTAACAAGAATGTGGCCTAAATTATCATAGTAATAGTTAACTAAAGGTAAGTATGAGAACTATTATCAAAAAATAATCAATAATCGAATTTCGAGATTTCCCTAATTAAATTTACAAGGCATTCAATAGATAGAAGGGAAACGCTACAAGATAGTGTTATATTCAGAATTGATGTTCAAATTGCATCCTTAAAAAATGGTTTGTTGCATTTGTGAAAAAGAAATATTGCTTAGCATTGTTGAGGAGCATTCTTAATTGTGCCTTAAAAAGCACATGCTTAACAAGGACATTTACGCATTGTAGGATAAGATTTAGGAGTTATCGGAGGAAATTAACAATAAGGAGATTGAACTTATAACTAAAATAAATTTGTATAGTAAATAAAGGATGTCTGAAAAAAATTTAAGTCATCAAAACAGTCCAGTAATGAGCAGAAGCAAATAGCAAATTACTCTTTCTAAGTTTGCTCAATAGAGTGATCAGAGATAAAGAGGAATTTAAAGAGCCAAAACCATTAACATCTCAGAAGACAATAGCATTAGTGAATTCCCAACATTTCATTAAAGAAAACCAGGGAGGAATTTCACTCGTTTAGAGTCATCTATGAGCATGAGTCCTGATAGCCAAAAATAAATAAAATGTGCTATATCTTTACTGAAAGTCACTCAACAATATTGTTAAAAAATATTAAAATAAGATAATTCATTTGGTTTAGACATAGATGCCAAATTTTAATCACTGATCAAATTAGGATTACCTGAGATTAACCATTTGAGTGATGTAAGTGAATTAATGAAGAGATCCCTAAGTTTAATCACGCAACGATTAGAATTAAATAAGTAAGTCAATAAGATTGATGCAGCTTAAGTACAATTGTAATGTGGATCAATTGAAAAATTAAAGAAAATCTTCCAAAAAGGATTATCAAACTCATATAAATAAGCGGGAACTTCATTAATTAGTAGAAACAAAAAAGGAGTTAATACTGGAGGCAAAGTGAGAATTATGGATTTGGTCAAACCTCTTAAATCTAAATTCAATCAAAGATAGTTTAAGGAGGATTAGGAAGAATGTTAATATCAAAATTAATAAACTCCAATTTAAGAGTAGAAAATAGATTCTTTAGAGTTCATTACATTTTCTCCCTCTGAAGAGAATGTAAATCAGAATACCAACAAATAATAATAATTAAACATTCACATTTATTCTCAACAAGAAGATGATGACAGTGACGATGTTCAATAGAATCTGTTTATTAGAGGGTATTATTCTGATTCGGGAATCACATTGCGAATCCCATAATATACTTAAAAGATGTAATTTATTATATAATATCATTAACTCTAGAATGACAGTAGGATTAAAAGATTTTGAATTTTAAGAGGTATTAGGAGTGGGAGCATATGGAGCCGTTTGGAAGGTTAGAAAATTAAAAACCAACGATGTTTATGCTATGAAAGTTATTGACACTCAATAATAATCAAGTCAGAACTTTTTAGAAACCCTTAAGGCTGAAAGCACCATCTTTTCAGTTCTTGAAGGAGATTTCGTTGCAAAAGCTTACTATTCCTTTAGTCATTCAGATTGTTTATTTTATGTTCTGGAATATGTAAAAGGAGGTGATTTTGATAAAATTCTCAGAAAATATGGCGCTTTGGATGAACCCATTGCTAAATTCTACATTGGAGAATTGCTTTTGGCCATTGAGGCATTACACAAAAAGCAAATCATTCATAGGGATTTAAAACCTCAAAATATATTGATAGATGGGAAAGGTCACTTGAAATTAACAGATTTTGGATTATCAGAAATAGGAATGAAATTATACATGTAGCATTCTGAACCTAGCCAAGCTCTTAAATTACAATAATAATTGGATAATAATATTAAGGATTTGGTTAGCAGCGAGCCAAAGTCTCCAAGATTTGATCATTGCATTTCAATTAAGGCCAGCAATCATAATAAACACAGAGTTGTTGGCACTCCAGATTATATTGCTCCTGAAGTAATTAGAGGAGAATCTATAAGCAACGAATCTCTTGATCAATGGAGTTTAGGTGTGATTACCTATGAATTCTTGGTGGGTATTCCTCCTTTCAATGATGATACTCCAGAGAAGATCTTTGAAAATATATTACAAAGGAACATTACCTGGCCAGAAATTGGAGATGGAGAAAACTAGTTGAGTTTAAATGCAAAAGACTTTATTGAGAGATTACTAGATCCTAACTATAAGACAAGGATGACAGTTGAAGAAGCCAAAATACATCCTTTTTTTAAGGGTTGTAAAATTATTTCTTATTTTAGATATCAATTTCGATACACTTCGTAAATAACCAGCTCCGATCATACCAGATAATGCACCAGACGATCAACCTTTATTACTGATAAAGAAATAGAGAGAGAAAGAAAAATTAACAAAACTACTTCGTGATACTTCTAGCGAAAACTCGACCATTTCAAAATTAGGTGTTGATAACTTATTAAGGCTTGATTTACTTGTAGAAATGAACCAATAAAAGGCTCATTAACTACGAAAAAAATATCATTGAAGTGTTGACAAATTTCTACATAATTGTTTTAAAGTGTTTAATTTAGTGTATTTAAATTAATTATTTAATAATTTATAACCTAATAAAATAGATGAAATCTGAACATTTGATCTTAGTGTGTTTCTGCTTTAAATTTTCAAAGAATACTTAATTTATAACAATTTAAATCTAAATTACAGGTGTTTGATCAACTAAAATTCCATATAATCTAATTGTATTTTAAATAGAATGTAATCTAAACACTTAGAAAACAATTTATTCAGTTAGATTCCATACTGTTTAATTTAATAGTGTGCATTGTATGAAATTATTAATAATTTCATTATATTAGAATCCTTAATTGCTTTTTCTTGTTTATTCAATAAATATTACCTTTGTAACAACATTTTTAAACTTTAAGTATGTAAATACTGAATGCGAAGAAAAGAAGTGAATTAGATTTAAATATTTTTCTATCAATTATAAAAATGGATATTACATAAATAATTTATATAGAGATAAAATATATAGAAGGTAAGCTTTCTATATAAAAAAACTGTATAATGAATTATAATGATAGAATGGAACACTATTTCTTGTTTTAATAATAAATCAAAAATGATAATAAGTTGTACATCACAATTATCTAAATATAATATTGATTCAATTCAATTCAATTTACATAGTATCTAAAAATAAAAAACTGTCTAATTATTCCAAGTCTTATTGATATAAAATGATATTTTTAATAGCTTCCTACATCTCCTAAAATGTAAGATTTCCTATTTGAGTAATAATATTGAATTGAACTAATTTCTCTATAATTTTTGCGTAAATAGATTCTAGAATGACTTCCTGTTTTAAAAGTGTGTAATTGATTTTGATATTAGCAATATAATTCTTATAATTTTCCAAGTATTATTTATTTTAAACTCTATTCTAAGAAGTGCATATGACTTAGGCTTCTGATTTTTCCTTGTCAATTATAATTAATGCTGAGATCGTATCATAAGTTTTGAAAATGATTGCATACTTATATTACATCAAGACTTCCTCGGTCATATTGTTTTTATCTTGATGACTTACAATAATAGGGCAATCTTGATGAGATTCTAAAGTGATAAAATTAATTATAAATTCTACTTAGATAACTGATTGATTGACCTAACATTTATACAAATTGGCTTAGTAATTATGTGGTTGACTAATTTACCTGATTCGGCTCCTTGTTATTTATTGTTAGATAGTATTTCAAGTAGTCTTCTTCTGATTCCAAGATTTCAAATCTTTCTTCAATTTTCTTTAAGTCTTTTAAATCGTTTTCAAATGTAACATAATCTTCCAATTGTTTAGTTAGGGAGACATATTCCTGATAATTTAAAAAAATGATACTTGAAGAAGTTTCTGAGTTGATTCTTTAGGTAAATTATCTAATTTGATGTCCTTCACACTTTTTCTCATTTCATAGTGTTGTGCTAAAGACGATTAATAATCCTATATCATTTCTATAAAGTTTTCCTTTAATTTAAAATAGGATTGAAGATCATCCTCAATATCTCTCAATTTTTGTTATAGCTTCTGGCTTTGCTCAAATTTTTCCTTTAATTAATTAGACTAATCCAATATTTTCTATAATGATTTGGTCACATCTTTAATTCGATCTCCACTTTTGAGGATTCCGTTGTATTTAAATTAAAGAAGTGATTATAAATCCTATTGAATGCTATCTTTAGAATGGATGGTGCTCCTATTGTGGAATTGATGGGGATGGTGTTGGGATTATTGTATTAGAAATGAGCAGTCGAGTTCGAAGAATGCCATTTAATTGAAAAATAAAATATTAGAAAGGAAGGAAATTAAGTTCGAGCCCGATTTGGAGTATGTTATAATAGAAAAATAAGTGTTTTTATTAAAATTTGTTAAAGCCTAATAAAATTAATAATACAAGATATTATGACAGGATATCGTATATTATTATAAATTTATGTTAAAATAATCTTTCTAAATCTATAAATAAATTAAATATGCTTAGATTTGTAGCCAGAAATCTCAATAATGTTTATAAATTTTCCGAATTGTAAAAGTTCGGAGCCTCTTTTCTTGGTTCTGGAAACGCCGAGTATTTGGAAAATCTATTTGATTAATGGTATTTGGATAATAAATCAGTCCCTGCCACTTGGGATTCATATTTCAGACAAGTTTTGGAAACGAATAATTTTGATTTCACTCCTGAACCTTAGAAAGGTTAAGCAGTTACAGCTAGATTGGATGTATGAATAATCTAAAAGCCATTAGGGGTAATCAGGATTAAGGAAATTACTGAGTGATCACTTTCGAGTGTTGTTGCTCATAAACAAATACAGACATAGAGGACATGAGAAGTCATAGGTGGATCCATTGGATTTAGAGCACATTTAGTAAATAGGCAAAGTGAAAGGATATACTAAATTGGATTATCGTGAATTTTTCGCAGAAGAGGATTTGGACAGAGAATTTTATATACACGCTGTGGGAAGCACAGGAATAACAAAGGATAAATAAAGTAAGGGATTGTAATAGTAATTAGTGATGAAATTGAGAGACCTAATAAATTATTTAGAAAAGGCCTATTGCGGAAAAATATCATATGAATACATGCACATTCAATCAAACGAGGAAAGAGATTGGTTTAGACATCAAATAGAGAAATATGATGAATTTATGCCGAGTAAAGAGCAGAAATTGAAAACTTTTGAGAGGTATAGATTAATTTGATCATAACAAATAGATTAGGACAGGAACATGCATTTAGTACGTTTTTGCAGAAGAAATTCAATACATCAAAGAGATTTGGTATAGAAGGTTGTGATTCTATGATTTCTGGTTTGTAATCGTTAATAGATGAAGCAGCAAGTGCAGGTGCAGAACATGTAGTATTTGGGATGGCGCATAGAGGAAGATTAAATACACTTTACAATGTATTCTAGAAATCAGCAGAAGAAATCATGGTTGAATTCTAGGATTTGAAGAGTACATTTAATGAAGATATTTGGGGTAATTCTGGAGATGTGAAATATCATTTGGGTTCAGTTCATAATGTGTTATTTGGAGATAAGAAATTGAGATTGGAAATGTTGCCTAATCCATCTCATTTAGAAACTGTGGATCCTTGTGTCTATGGAAAAGTCAGGGCTATATAAGATTATTTCCAGGATGAAAAGAGAGAAAAGGCTTTTGGAGTGTTGATTCATGGAGATGCTGCAGTTTCAGGTTAAGGAATAGTTTATGAGTCTTTACAAATGGCAGATTTAGAAGGTTACAAGTCAGGAGGTATTGTACATGTGGTATCCAACAATTAAATCGGATTCACTACTGTTCCTAAGGACAGCAGATCTGGGTTGTATTGCACAGATATAGCACATGCTATTTAAGCACCAGTCATTCATGTCAATGCTGATGAACCTGAATTAGTTGACAAAGTGTTTAAGATTGCTACCGAATACAGATATAAGTTCAAGAGAGATATCTTTATTGATTTGGTTGGATATAGAAGATATGGTCATAATGAGTAAGATCAGCCTAAATTTACTTAACCCATAATGTATGAGAAGATTGACAAGGCTCCTCCTGTCTTCATTAAATATAGCGACAAATTGATTGCTTAAGGTATCGTGACCAAAGAACAAGTGGACACTTTGATGAAGACTCACGAAGACAATCTTGAATTGGCATATTAGAAGTCTAGAAAAATGGATTACAATCTCAAGGATTGGCAACCAGTGCCATGGGAAATGATCAAAGTTCCAGTCCTTTGGGGAAGAATCAAAGATACAGGTGTTCCTTTGAATGTTTTAAAAACATTAGGGGAAAAAATCAATAAGATACCTAATGAATTCAATGCTCATCCTTAAATCAGGAAATTTTATGAAGAGAGATTGTCATGGATTCAAAAGGATCAACCTATTGATTTTGCTACTGCTGAAGCTTTGGCATTTGGAACTCTTCTTCATGAGGGATTCAATATCAGATTATCAGGAGAGGATGTTTAAAGGGCAACCTTCTCCCACAGACATGCAGTTATACATGATCAAAAGGATCCTAACGGTTAAGATTATGTCCCTTTGCATAATGTTATTCCCAAGGGACAAGAACAAAGACTCAGTATTTACAATTCTCATTTATCTGAATACGGAGTTCTTGGGTTCGACTATGGTTACTCTATCACAAATCCAAATACCTTGGTGTTATGGGAGGCATAATTTGGTGATTTTGCAAATGGAGCCTAAATTATTATCGATAATTATATAGCTAGTGCAGAATCCAAATGGGATGTTGATAGTGGATTGGTTATGTTGTTACCAAATGGTATGGATGGTCAAGGACCAGAACATAGTTCAGGGAGAGTTGAAAGATTTTTGTAATTGAGTGATGATGACCCTGCCGTTTTTGACAAAAATCTCGGAGGTAATCTAATGATTTATATCAACTAGTCAGATTAACAAGACAGATGAGAAATTCAAATATGTAAATTGTTTAATGCACTACTCCTGCCAATTACTTCCATGCTCTTAGAAGACAATTAAGAAGAGATTTCAGAAAACCGTTGATTGCTATGACATCCAAAAGACTTTTGAGACTGCAAGCTGCCAAATCTAAGCTTACTGAACTTACTACACAATTCAATCAAGTTTATGATGAGGCTCTTCCAGAATTCCTTGTTCAACCCAATCAAGTCAAAAGAGTCATATTATGTTCAGGCTAAATTTATTATGATTTACTCAAAAAAAGAGAAGACCTTAAACAAAATGTAATTCTATTTCATTTATTTTTTTTAGAATGTTGCTATTCTTAGAATTGAACAATTGGCTCCATTCCCTTATGAGTTCTTATAAAAAATTATTGGTAAATACAATAATGCAGAATTCGTCTGGGTCTAAGAAGAACATATGAATTATGGTCCTTGGGCATTTGTCAGACCAAGAATCTAAAGTGTACTAGCCAAGACTACAAACATTTCAAATTCACCTATCCATTATATTGGCAGAAGACCAAGCGGATCACCAGCTACTGGTTTTCATTAATTGCATGATAAGGAAATTTAGACTCTTCTATAGAAGGCTTTTGAAATTTGATCAATTATGTTATTATTCAATTCTTGTATATTATTTTTTTCGACATTTATCAATCCACTTAATCTCGTAAATGAAATATCAAAGACAAAAAAGCATTCCATAATTTTATTATTTTTAATGCTAACAGAAGATGTTGTATTCTACTCAATTGCTACTACCATCCTTTTCATCTATGTTGTTTATTTAATATGGGAATATTCAGCAAAGGATGTGCCCTTATACATCAAGATTTTAACCTTCATTTCTTGGATGTTGACCTTTTCAATTGTCTTAGTCTTACCAATTGACATTGCCAATGTTATTATAAGATCTTAAGTTTTAGGCGACCAAATAACTCAATGAAGACTAATAGCAAGAGACCATGGGGAATATCAAAATATTATGGAGAATTATGTATTGGGGGAATTTCTTCTTGGCTTGGTAAAATTTGTAATTATACAGGTTGGTCTTACCATTTTTTTAGGATTATGAAAGCTCTGGAGATTTTGATATCAGAGGCAAAATTCGATACTCTTTGAAAAAAAATTTAACAATATATGGAGTTGGAACAGTTATAATAGTAGGACTGGCCATCTATCTATTGATTAAGGACAATTTTGATTCAACTCATGTTGAAGGGGTTTTGATTGGTGTGAGCAACTTTTTGTAAGCGATCTTTATTTATCATCTAGTGGATTGCTTCTGGTTGTCATCCTATTGGGATAAGGCTTAGTAGCAATTCCAAAATTATACTACAGAGAACATAAAGAGGAAGAAGTCTTGGAATAATGCTATTAATAGGCTGTCCTATTGGATGAATAGAGAACTGAGAAAACTTATGAGCTCGAAGACATTTGTAGGGTTGTAATATATTCAAAATTTAACTAGACTCTTCAACTGTTGCAGAATGAATATTCTGACAGCGAATTCAGTCGATATTTGATGATTATTCTACAAAGGATTCCTTAGGAATTTTAAAAGACCATTAGGCAAACTCTATAAAAATATAATGCTTCCAACATACCTGATAAATACAAACCATTGAATCTAGAAGTCTTGGCTTCGATACACAAATATGTAAAAGGCCTTATGTTTGATTTGCAAAGAATTCAAACTAAACTTAATATTGTAAATTAGAAGGCATTGAAGTTTGAAAGGAAGGAACTAGCAGATGATGAGACTTAGTTCGAAACCAAGTGGTCTAAGATGATATATAAGATTTCTATTATTTGGAATCTAAAGCTCAGAAAATATTACTGTGTGATTTTGGCCATAACTTATGCACTTCTTAGTTTATTCATACTATTTTGCGAATTGATTACCTTTGTTGGTAAAACAAACAAGAATTTGAATCCCTATTACTTATTGTTGTCATCAATTAATAGGTATTACTTAACAGAACTTGTTTTGCTCTTGCCTTTGCTTTATATGATGTTTTGCACCTATTATGGTTTATTTGCAATGAAAATCTCAGGGTTAATTTCATTTAACAAACATCATCATACAGATGCAGCAAGCTTAATGTTTGGTTCCATGTATTGATATTTTATAATTTTTGCAAGTAACTTTGCTAGAGTGAGTTTCCCCTTGTGTTTCAACTTCATTCAGATTACAGACATTTTGGAAGATCAAGCAACCTCCTTTAGTGAGACTGTAGGTAATCTGGCAGAATCACTTTTTGTATAGAGTTACAAGACAATACTTCCCTTGATGTTATTGATTATGTGCTTTTTCAATTTATTCAATATTGGAGATAAGTTAATGAGGACCATAGGTTTAGGACAATATGCTCAACAAGAGAGAATATCAGGAATGAGTTTAGAAGGCAAAAAAATTATTGAAAAGGGTATATTATATGCTAAAGAATATAAATAGAGAGAGAATTAAGGAAGAAGAACAATCTTAATGAGAGCAATTCTCAGATAGTATTTTAAGAATTGTAAATTATGCCGAAGAGTAAAATCCAGGATGAAGAAGAAACTCAAAGAAAGAACTCAAATTAAGGAATAAGAAATTTTGATTAAATTCTAAGTATTTGAATTATAATTATTGTTACTTTTAATAAAAGGATTCTTTTGGTTATATTTTTCAAAATTACAATATATTAATATATTGAGAATATCGTAAGCCGAGTACTTTATGGAAGTGTTTTATTGAGAACACTGAATTTATTTATTATAATTCTTATATATTGAAAAATTCATGATTATGCCAACTAATTTCTTCTTATGATTGCTAGTTCTAAAGATGATTGGTGATCTTGGTAATTAGTGGGAAAAACTAAATATTGAAATAATTGTTTACATTATCCATTTGTTAAATTGATTCTCAATAATTGTAATACAATTTTATTGCCTGGATTAACAGGATATTAATGAATTATGTATAAATTTCCAAAACTGACAGCTCCTTCCATGTCTTGGACTGGTGTGAATACTTCAGAACCATTATCCTTTCTAGTAGGAATTAAAAATTATTCTGGTGGTTCTAAAGAGAAGATATCATTCTTTATAAAATCTCCATTTTCCCAATCAAAAGTATAAATCTCCCTTTTCATAATGTATTAATATTTCAAAAATTCGCCAGATAAGATTAATTGATTGTAACCATAATAAGGAGCAGAAAAGACTGGAGAACTCAAAACATTCTTTTGATATTCATCATCCGGTCTAACTGAAAAGCGAACTTAAAAACATCCACTTCCTATAAAGGTTTCATCTTTGCATTGAAAGATTTAGCCTTGATTTTATTATGTACATCGATAAGCCACCAAACCATCAGGATCGTGTTGAATTCCTCCAAAAATGATCAATAATTTTGAGAATTATGGATGAGATGTAACAAAGAAACTACCACCAAATCTTGGGATTAAATTGGACATCAGCACTTACCATTATTTATGTTACCTCATGACATAGGCTTTGTTATACAATTCATCCAAAATTTATTGATCTTTTGTTTTTTTAAGTCCCTAACCATAAAACACATAAATATTGCTAAAATAATACTGCTTATTGATTACTTATTATAATGAGTTCCCATGAAATTGTACCCTTCCTAAGGTAGAGGGGGCAATTCTTCCATAACAGCAGATTTCCCATCTTAAAAAGGATCATTAGAAAATGTAACTCTGACCACTTAATTGCTTTGCACAAATCTGTCTTCAGTTTTTCCTGCAATGATATATATAAACTTTTGATTATTGGCCTCTCCCTTAATATACAACGCCTATTCCTTCTACAAATAGGGTTTTCCTTTCAGGATAAGTGGAAACTCATGCCACACTCCGTAATTTACGAAGTAGACGATAAGCTACCTTGAATACTAGAATAATTACAATGGATTCGTTAATTTCCTGCCTTTATCTTCTCTTGAGAGCAAAGATAAAGTCATTGGACAAATTATTTTTGGTCAGATTTATCAATTTCATGGCATTTCTAAAGACTTTTTATAAATCTTGCGCTCTTTGCTTAACCTTCTATTACAAATCTTGAACCATCAAGTTATTTTGTTTGGCTTGTTTGTAGATTTTATTATTAGTATATTGTTGTAGCTTAACACTTGTATAGGACATTTCGTCAGAGATAATCTTTTAGGTTGGATTCAATGAGTTGGTTTCTTCGAGCTTTCTTTGAATCCCAAGAATGGGTGTGATTCCAGGCAGCTAATATTTAATAGTCGTAGCTGTCTGGTTCTTAGGCACCTTATTTTATGCAAAATAGCCTGGATTGGTTGGTTAAGTAGATTAGAATAATTTGTCTTTATCAAACTTTACTCCAGGTAACTTCTTTTATAAGAGTTTAAATGATTCTAATGCGTGATAGAGTTTAAAGTCAATTCCGTAATCATCGTATAAGTGAAACACTTTGCAACCAGGACACGAGAATCCACTTGATTATAATTATAATAGTGTTACTGTCCATCTCTGTTGGTAGTTTAGTAATATTCCAACCAAGAGTCCATATCGAATATACATGCAATATATTAGATAGAATTGTGTCTTACAGGAATGGTCACAGGCATACTTGAAAGTTAGCATTTCAATAGGATTTCTACTAGATTACTCTAGATGTTCTTCTCAATCAACTCATCCATAAAGCGACTCACATTGTTTTTAAAGATTTATTCCTTGTACTTTTCTAGAGCCATCATTTGAGTCATTAATAAATAATATTGTTTATTATATCTCCAATTAAAATATCTCTAAAATTCATTTTTATAATAATAAGGACTGAGAATTAAATAAATAAATTATAAATGAAGAAAAACAGTTTATGTGATAATAGCAAGTGCAACAAAACAACAATCTTTCAAAAGCAGATGGCCCCTGTCAAATGTTCGAAATGCAATTGCGGTACATATTGTTGTCAAGCATGTTTGAAGGAAGATGAGTAACAATAAAAATATTTTAAGAGATCATGTATGTAATTCAGATCATTTGGATCTTGATAATACGACCCAGATTAATTCATCTGTTAATGAAACTCTCTTATAAATTCAATAAAAGAAGAGAACTCTCGATGATTACGAATTCATTAATGGAGACAAAGGAATGTTGGGCAGAGGAGCATTTGGAGAAGTGAGATTAGCTATCGATATTGAATTGCAATAGGAAATGGCTATTAAAATTTTAAATAAGAAAAAAATGCTTAGGAATTGCAATCTTCAACAACTAAAAAATGAAATCAAATTATAAAGGAGTCTAAACCATCCAAACATAATCTAATTATTTCATGCATTTGAAGACAGAGAAAATATATACTTTGCCTTAGAATATGCTTCCAATGGTTCACTCTATAAATATTTGAGGAAACTTAAAGTTATGCCTGAACCTGAAGCCTTTGTATACTTTTTCTAAACTTGTCTCGCAGTGGATTACTTACACAAGAAAAATGTGATTCATAGAGATTTAAAACCAGAGAATATCTTATTGGATGAGTAAGGCAATGTAAAACTGTGTGATTTTGGATGGAGTGCTGAGAGTGTTGAGATGAGAAGCACCTTTTGTGGAACATTCGATTACATGGCACCTGAGATGTTACACAATAAACCACATGATTATAGAGTAGATATATGGGCATTAGGAATATTGCTATATGAACTCCTCCATGGGAATGCGCCTTTTACCAAAGCTCATTTTGCCAAAGAAAACATCTCAAATCTAACTATCAAGTTCTCATAGTCTGTAAGTTCTTTAGCTAAAAATTTAATTACTTCCATATTGCAACATGATCCAAAAAAGAGAATGAGTATGGATCAAATATTCGCACATCAATGGTTGAAATCCAATGCTGAAGAATTTGGAATGGACATTGGTGAGTATGTATATATACCGAAATCATAAAGAATGAATGACTCCTCCATCAATCAAACATTTGAATAATCAAAATAGTTAAATGAATCCAAACTTAAATAAAACAATACAATTAGAAATTCAGTTAAAAAACCAGATTTCCTGAATAATTCTTAATAGCAATCATCATAAAAATAAGAAGTCTAAAAAGTTTAATAAAATTATTAAGAAAATAAAAGAACAGCCAATAGTTCGTTTCACCAAGCCAACAATCAATCCCATATCTCAAAAATCTCTGAGAATTTGCAAGATTCAGCAAGATCTTCCTCAGATTGCTCAGATATTTAGAGCAGAGCTTCTAATATTAGATAGTCTTTTGCCAAAGATCTATCTATGAAAGGATTGAGCTAAAATAATAATAGTTTTCACGCATAAGAAAATAAACACCTATTTACAAATGACGCAAGCATTCTAAATTAGGAGGAAATTGAAAGACTCCTTAGATAATAATTAAAATCAGCTGAAACCAAATCTGATGATATCAAACTATCCTTAAATTCATTCCAAAATATCTAATCGAATCAACAGTAAAATAAGTCTCTCTCCTCCATTCTAGTAGAAGATAATAAAAACTTTAGTCAATAATTATATTCTAATTAAGGGAGCACTCTCAAATAGAGACATGTTTAATTCTTGTCGCCTAAAGAAAGCATGAATGAGTCAGCTTAAAAGACTCAATAATAATAAGTTGAGGAATCTCCATATTTTAACCCTACCTAAGTAAGGGAATCCATTGCTGATGATGAAGTCAAAGAAAAATTCAGTTTTGGCAGTCTTTCAAACTCTAAACATGATTAGAATCAACTAGAAATCTCGCAACCAGAAGAGTAATAAGGATTTAATAAAAAGGATAAAATATTGAAAGAAACTAGATTATCTAAATTATCTGTAATAGAATCGGATGAGAGTGAATGCAAAAGTGACGGAGATGATTAAAGAAATTATCAACTCTAATAAATAACATAGGCTGTTCGTTCTTACTCTGCTAATACCGTTTAACCTAAAGATACCAACAATCCAAGAATTCCTTAAGAAATTGAATTATAATCTCAATTTTTGTACCAAAATAATGTCCTTTAAGATACTAAATCACAAACCTCAAAGACATCAAAGAAATCTAAATTATCTAAGTAGTCGAAACTATCAACCAACACCAAGGTTAGTTCTGAATAAAGTAGAGCACAATAATAGTTAATTATGTAAAAGAAGAAATATTCACAGAATATGGTTGATTATAAAAATTTTAATATGAAGGAGATCTCTAAGGAAGACAGAAATAGATATTAAGATTATAAAGACTCTACCAAGCAATTAGAAATAAGATCTAGAGAGCTTCAAGCTTATCTCTATTCTTAGGATAATTAATTTGCTTAAAGAAGAAGTATTAAGTAAAATAATGCCACAAAAGAGGAATTGGGGTTTTTTGGAAAAATACAATTAGCATTTGGGTGTTTAGGATAGAGATGAAATTGTCGATTTTTGAATATATTAATTATTTTTATTAAATTGATGAATACTAAGTATTTTTAAGGCTAAATGTCTTGAATATCAAAAACATAAAATCGACATCTCCAAAGAGGAAATGATGATAGAGATATCAGAAATGTGGGAACTATGTAAAATAGAAAATGATTCTAACAAATGAAAGGCAATGAACAATTATATTCTCAAAATTTTTGATTTTCTTTTAACAACACAATAACATGAATATGAAAGATAATAATTAGATTCCACTAATTATCCAGCATCTCAATCACACTATTAAAAAAAATAAAAATTTAAGCATCTATGATTCGGATTTCATATTGCACTAGTGAGCCGAAATTTATAATTGAAGCTAGGAACTTGGCTATGGAAATATTTAGAGAATTCAAAGGCAACATTATCAAAAGTCAAATACATCATTAATCTAAAAATATTTAAGTGGTATTGTATTAAGAAACCAAAAATATTGAATTATGGTCTTATTTAAGAGATAGCCCCTAAGATTATACAAAAATATTTCCTTTAATTGCAAATTATATTTAAAGATAATGAACTTTTTCCTTTCATAATTCTATTTACCAATATCTTTAGAAAATGTATCTTATTGTCTCAGAATAATTAATAGTATCTTTGAGAATAATAAAATTTATTCAACCTCTCAAATTAAAAAACATCTTAACAATTATAGAAGTATTTATTTACAAATTTGTATATGGTGGTTTAATATAATATTATTTTATTAAATTGTTAAATTAATTATTTTTGTTGAAATTTAATATTTATAATTTCATAATTTTGGAAACTCTGCCTTCCCTTTTGTAATTAGAGCAGTAATTCCAGTAGGCATATCATTTGTAAAGCCCAATGACATATTGGTTCTTGCCATAACCTCTAATTATGAATCTAAATTTGATTCCCTTGTCAAGATGCTCTTAATTGTATAAATTCCAATTGGAGACTTAGAAGCAATGATCTCAGCAAGCTTAAAGATTTCGTCATTTAGTTGGTCATTCTTAACTACTTTGCTAACTAAACCCAGGTGTAAGGCTTCTTAGGCATCAAAAATTCTTCCTGTATAGGCCTATTCCCTAAAGAGTGAGGTATTGGCATTTTATTAACCCAGTCTTTAAAGAGTTCCTATATCTGCAGCCCTAAAAAGTGAAATGGATTGGAGTTTACATTCCGATATCAATTTCTTTGATTGAGAATTTAGCATCTTCAGAACAATATTTGATGTCAGCAGAAGTAATGAGATCAATAGCCCCTCCAAAACAGCATCCTTGAATGCCAACGATGACGGGGACTCTGATTCTGGATAATGATGTCATGGCTAATTGCCAATCCTTGATTAAATCATATATTCTGATTGACTTCCTTGCTTAATCTAATTCTTCAGGAGTCTCAGAAACAATATCACTTTAAAAGGTACTTAGAACATTGATGGAGCCTCTTTTAGGTCAAGACCAGCGCAGAAATGCTTTCCTCTTCCTGTGAAAACCACAACTCTAACATCGTCAGTCTGATTAATAATATCGACTGAGGCTTTCAAATCTTGAAATAGCTGTTTTGACATGGTATTCCTAGAAATAGCAATAGGATATACAGTTGTTTGGGTCTGTTGATTTCAAGATGATAAATTTATCCTTTTTTGGTTCCAATAAGAGTTTACATATTATGAAAATTAATATTGAGAATAATTGGTTTAATTTTATTTGTATTTATTTTTGATGATATAAATGAATTTTGAAAATATATATCCCAAAATAAATAAATTAAAATGAATCATCTTACAGGAGTTGGCGATGTTCTTAATGCAGCCAGTTCTAGCACTCCAGTCCCATCTAACATTGATTCCACATGGGTGTTGATTACATCCTTTAGTGCTTTATTAACAATATTGGGATTCGCCTTCATCAGTTCAGGTGCAGTGAGATACAAATCTGTGCAATCTGCAGTTATCACAGTCTTATTGGGAGCAGTGATCACCATACTGTTCTTCTGGCTTGTAAGAAAATATAATGATAAAATTTGATTAGTCAGGATATGGATTTGCATTTGGAGATGATAAGGGAAACAAGTTCATTGGTTTGAGCAGATTCGCTGGAGCTGGATATGGAGTGGATGCATCAAGAGATGATTATACAAATTTAAGTAAGCTAATAATCTCTAATTTTTAACTAGTTTTCTAGAGTGTTGGAGCAATAATAGTATCATCTTTGTTTGGATTGGGAACATTGGAAAGATCCAGATTTTTCTCAGTCAGTGTTTGTCTAGCTGTTATTTCAGGCTTCTTATATCCAACTGCATTGCATTGGGTTCAACCAACAGGTTGGTTAAGTAAGTTTGGATTCATTGATTTTGCTGGATCCAGCTACATCCACTTCTTCGGTGGAGTGACAGCATTGGTTGTTTCTATCTTCTTGAAGGAAAGAAGAGATTAAGCAGGAAATGTTCATCCAGGCATCTTCCCACATCATTCCCCAATCAACATTGGTTATGGATCAATAATCTTAAGTGTTGCCACACTCATTTTCATTAACGGTGCAAATCAAGAGGGCAAAACAGATAAATATGAACAAGGATTAATAGCAGTTAACACTTTAATAGCAGCTACCTTCTCAGCCTTGACAAGTTTCGTCGCTTAATATTTGAAAACCCAAAAAACAAGTTTGATTGCTATTGCAAGAGGAAGTGTTGCTGGTATTGTTGCCATCTCAGCAATTGCCAATGACGTTAGAATTTGGGAATCTGCATTAACTGGAACCCTTGCTGGATTAGTGTATATTGTACTCATTCTTGTCATCAAAAGATCTCATGTTGATGATCCTGCTTATACTTTAGCTACTCATCTAGTAATATATATAATGTATCAATCAATAGGGACCAGGATTATTGGGTACTCTTTTGGTTGGTGTTTTGACCCTCAGCAATGGATTCGTAACTGGACATGGATTCAAATAATTTGGATTATAACTTGTAGGTGTCTTGGCATTCTTAGGATGGGGATTGTTGATTGCTTTATTCGTTATCCCATTAAAGGGAACCGGAGTCTTTAAGATTAATCCCTTCTAAGAATCCAAAGGAATTGATACCAGCTATGGTAATTATATATCAATATCATATTTTAGCTGAAGGAGAAGCTATTTAATTCATTGATGAATAACCAGAACCAACTCTTTTAAGTAGTACTCCAAAAAAGGGAATCTTCCAATGATTAATAAGTCATTAAATTTTCATGCATTAAGATAAAACAATTTCTTTATTTACTATATATGTAAATATATATTCTTCAACTTTTTGAATTACAAAATAAACCAAGATTATTGCAAATTCATTTAGTGACATCCCAATAAACCACATAGGTTGAAATGCAATTATACATATTTTCATGCTTAAAGAATTAGTACAACTAATTAATACAAATTATGAAACGCTTGAAAATGATCAACCTTTAACTCTAAAATAGACAAGAGCTTTTCCACACTTAAATTATATGTAAGAATTTAATTTCTTTATTTTAACTTAATAAACTCTTTGATATTCTAAATCAATTATGAAAATGTAATACAATATTATTTATCGTCTTTTGAGTTGATTATATATTCTAAAATCTATTGTATAATTTTAAAATAAAATCAGGCCAATAAACTTTTATAAAGATAATAATGTCAATTTATAAAAATAAAAAAATGATCCTACTTGGAATTGAACCAAGGTTTTGAGGGTCAAAACCTCATGTATTAACCACTATACGATAGGATCTTTGATGAGAAGAGATGGCTGTCAATTTATAACTGCGATATTTAATTATAACAGATATGATATTAATCCACCATTTAAAATAAAACGTGATATGTCACAGATATTGATTATGGACATCGGCTAATAGTTATAAATTATTTCTAGCTACCTCTCTTGAGGCCGAGGACTCTTAATATGGGATGGTGAAAACTAGAATTATCATACATGATTACATAATCCATTGGTCAAATTAATTTTCAGCAATTAAGTCATAACTTTTTGGCCTTTTTCATTCTAATTTTAATCAACTTCATATTAGTGGATCAGATAAAAGAATCCATACGAAATTGCACCTTGAGGGTCCTAGACAGGGGAAAATATATCATAACCAGATATTCTTCTTCTATAAGGAGTGAAGATGAATTCAGGAGGCTCCAATGAGAATAATTCATTCAATTTCATTTCTGCATTACCCCAATCAAATGTATAGATCTCTCTTATTTCAGCATTTTTATATTTCAAACATTCCCCTGATAGAATCAATTAATTATTTCCGTAATATGGACAACTGAAAACTGGAGAAGCTAAAACAGATTTATGATATTCATCTTATCCAGCAAAATTGATTAGAAAATCTTATTTTGGACTACCCAAAAACTTTTCATCCTTGCATATAAAGATTTACCCTGAATGTTATTATTAACTTTTATAATTAGGTACACCATCTGGATCTTTGGTTATGCCACCAAAGAATACAATCAATTTATCGAATTATTCATGAGAAATAATAAAGAAACTACCATCAAATCTGTCAACTAAGTTGTTCCTCATTTACTCCCATTTTTAATTGTATCCATTCCTTCTTAATACATATTAAGAATTTAATAGTTGAAATTTGATTTGGTTGTCACTGTTTTTGGTCTGTCTCTATCCATAAAATACAAAGAGATTTCTAAGTGTAATGAGAATGTTATTACCCTTTGTAAGATGTCCCCATGAAATTATATCCCTCCAATGGATAATCAGGCAATGCTACTATTTTCGCTTATTCTTCAACCGATTAGAATGGGTTTCTTGGAAAGGTAAGTTATAGACACTGGTTTGATTGGGCGAATCTATCTTATTTCTAACCTCCAATGATATAAATCGTGTTCCTTTAGGCATCACTTTCACCTTTAATGTATAAGGCTTGCTCCAATTAAACATAAGGTTGGCCATTAAAGGTGAGATCGTACTCGTACCAAATACCGTATTAGACTAGATAAACAATCAACTAATAGATGGTGATAACTTAATACAATTGAATGCAGCTGGTTGTTCAATGAAATCTTTTTTAGAGCAAAAACATAATCGTCACTTAAGGACTTTCTTCCTAATTAAACAAGTTTCAAGGACTTAGCTAACTCCTGTTTGCATAAATGCTTTTTTGCAGCAACTTTGTCTTGTAAGGATTTAAAGGTGAGATTTGAATTTTTTTTGAAGATCTTATACAATTTGCTAAATAGGAGCTGTTGTAATTTCACAATGGTTTAGCTCATTTCATCAAGAATTCTTTTTTGGTTTTCATTTTAATGCTAATTGGTAATTTGTTGTTATCTTCGAGACACACCGAAGATTGGAACACAACCTGGAAGTGGGTATCTTTGAGGTACCAATTTTATTTTAGAATTAGGAGGGTTAACTACTTTAGTCTCCACGTAGTAAATATTCTTGCTTGGTTAATAGATTAGTTAAGATTCATTTAATTTAATATTTGGATTTCTCATTTTGAATAGTCTCATCTCCTCCAACACGTGATAAAAAGTTTAATCCACTCCATAATCCTTAAAATTCGTATATTTTTTGCACCCTGGGCAATAAAATCCTCTATACGTTATGATAACTATATTACGTTGGCTCAACTTTATTTTGCATTTGTTTGTAATGCTCCATCCAACTGTCTAGATCAAATAAGCAATGGATATATCCCATCTAAGTATGTCTAATTGGAATTGTCACAGAAATCTTGGACAATTAGCACTTTGTAGTAAGCACTATTTCTTCTCCTCCTATTTTATCTTGGAGAAGTTTTTGGTACCAATGACTTATATTATTGGACAACACCTATTCTTAGTAATACTGCATTTCAATAAAATAATTATTTGATTATTTTTTGTTGAATATATTATTATGAATACAGAGTTTTACTTACCCAAGGAGCAAAAGGGTGTGGTACAGTGATAAATGGAAACTATTTTATCTTTAGAAACGTGTTCTAGAATTATTCTTTCTGCTTAATTTTACAATTTATTTGATTAATAGAATTCAGTCGGTATGCTGGTATAGACTCCTCTCGATTCCCATAGTGGAGCTGTCTTAAATGCTGCTTGGTTGTGAGTTATTTATAAAGTTTATAATCATTCTAACAAACAAGGAGTGTGAGCATTTTACTGCGAGAAGATAGCTTTGATGATATTCGTAATAGAATTGAAATCTCCAAACATACTTTGATTTAAGTAGTTTGGAATAATGGATTATCAGAATTAAAGTTGAATAAAATTAATATATATATATATTTATTTTTAATGTCGAAATAGCCACCTTAATAATCTGACCCGGATTCATTAGTGTACCTTGTTTTTAATGGTTTATTTTAGTGAGGCATATGAGCAATTGCAAGGCAAGATGTCACAAAACAATTATGATGTGGTTGATCAAATTGGATAGATTTGTTAAAGTGTTATGTGGGGAGATAAGAACAATGACACCTTCTTTGAGTAAGCATCCATCTAAACGCAATTTAGTTACTTTTGTGATCAGAAGACGATGTCATTGTACTTAGATTTGGTGCACACTGGATAGAGGGAAGTTGTAGTGGCAGTAATTAAGGCAATTACGATGCTATTGCAAAATATATAAAGACCAGTTAGCATAAATTACATATTAAGTCATAGTGCATTGAATGGCATAATCATAGCAGATTACAACTTTAGGGATGATGAAATCATAGCTTATTACATAAATTTGTTAAAATGTGTTTCAATCAGGATTGACGAACAGAGTTTGCAATTGTTCTACAATTTGGTATGTAATTCCAATCTCCATAGAAATTTAGCACATTTCCAATGTTAATGAAGGCCATCTGTTTCTATAAGCACAAGGAGAATCTAATCAGAACAAGTGTAAGAAACATAGTTTTAGGAATAACCAAAATCAACCTACCCCAATTGCGTAGATATGTGAGATCATTTCCATTCACTTTGTTTTATGTCCAATTTAGTTGTTACATGAGAGATGCTCTCTTTTACATTGGAGGTCTCATTCAGGAGGGGAGACAGGAGTCACACAAGATAATCAAATTGTTGTTGGATGATTAATTGGACATCTTGTACTTCTTGGAAGATCTCCTAAAAACCAACGTGGATGCTTTGCCAATCATTGTGAATTCAATAATGGTCTATGGTTTTGTTCCGACGATAATAATGGGAGTTATTAAGAGTGGTTAGCAATCCATTAAATTCAATCAATAGCCACAGAGATAATCTATGAATCATCAACAAACTCAAAAGTATTAGCACAATCGTGGACAATCATTAGGTAACTTCACATTTACTAACATATTTTCATCATCCCAATAAACTAGCAACTAATAATAATAATAGGTTATTGATATTAAGTTTTGTCTTTTCATTCTAATCCAAATTTACAAGAGTTTTAGTTTCAGCTAATTTTTGGATTTATTGACTCTATTCATATTGGGAAAGGATCCAGAGATTGTTGATTTCATAACATAATTAAGTACAAGTTCACACATTAATGTTAGATTCTAATTCCAAGTTAAATTCATACGAAAAGGATGTTAGCATGAGTGAGACATGGGTAATCAAGGAGAAAACGTTCATTCAGGCATACTCTTAATTCATTTATAAAGATTGTGAAATCAGCGAAGATGTCAATGTGGATGACAAAGAGGAATTGCTAAAAGGGGTTTCATCCTACGAAACACAATCAGTGAAACGAGAATGTATAGTTATATGATTATATTAAAAAGTGAGTTGTGAACACTTTAAATCTTTAATATGTGATCCGAAGAGATATGAGGATCTACTGAGCATTACTGATATGTGTGATATTGCTATAGTGAAATCCTAGAGTAAAAGTAAAGTATCAGCATTGAGTTTCATGGAAAGGAATGAATAAAATAAACTAAATGCAAATGCAAATACCAATAATACTAAAACACCATTCTATGCTTTGATGAAACATTTAGAAAGCAATGATGACACTGTTGTATTTATGGTGTTACTGTTCATTAAAACACTTAGACACTCAAAGAATATCTCTCATTCAGTCTTAGAATAGGTTGGGTTGATCACTCCAGATAAAAATATGGAATTGTATAAAAACTGCTAAGAAACTTCTTCTTTTATGCAAGATAAGTTGTTGGGTATCTTGGAAACAGGATTGCCACCTTATAGATTAGGCACTTACATCCTATCAATTCAGATGTTGATTGACTTTTGCAGAACGGATCTTGAGAGTTATGATCTACGCAACAAGGAGAGGTTTAGAAAGATAGTGTTGAATCACATAAATAGGATAAATGAATATATCAGAAATCCTTTGGAGGTTCATTATGTCATTGAATTCTTCTATACGGAATATAAAATCTTGAAGTAATACAGGCGTATATCTTTATAGCAAGACATCCATATCGATCTGGCCACAAACGCATATATAATTGTTGTATGAGATGACTCCAAAAGGAGTTTGTTAAATCGACATCAAACACAACGAGAGTGTTTACTTTATGGAGCCTGCAAATCAATAAGACAAAGTCAGGAAAGACATGCTGATTTTGTTGATATTGAAATACACAGCGTCAGTTCTTATTGGGTTTGAAGAGCAAGAACAAAGAATACTCGATAATCCCAAACCTTTTGGGGATGGTCCTACTTTGAAATACGTGTCAGGGAATGTTTATAATTTGTAAGAGGAACCTTACTGCAAATTCAGTCAACATTAATGCAAATATCAAAACATTGATTGCTGCATTTTAGAGGACTCTCACAATTTGGTCGTGATGGACTTGACACAAGGTCAGAGTGCAGCCAAATGCATAGTTGCACACAGTTTGAAGTATACGGATGAGATGGTGGAGAGACTCAATCTGAAAATGTTGCATGTGACATACAGGTTTGAGAATCAGAATAGTGTTTTTGATTTGGAATTCCCGAACAAGCAGTGTTGTTAGGCAGCTAAGAAAATGACAGAATAGAAGAAGACTAATTTGAGGAATGATGAGTTGGATACTGTCACATCATATTTATAAGCACTCACAAAAACAATGAATTATAATAAATGATAATTGTTAAATAAAATGATGATCTCACTATTGTCTCCTAAGAGAATGTGACACTTCTCAAGTCTGCTGACGAACTGACCCTTGAGGCCAAATTCAAATTCCTAAATGGCAACATCCAGAGGATCAATTAGCAATGCTTTCTCTTTAACCATCGATATTTGATGGAGCTCAATGATAAGACCATTGAGTATTAGCAAGAGGTTCAGAGTGCCTCGATTCAAAATGGCAAGTCGCTTGTCATCACTAATAACAACACAGTGTAATTCTACAAGGCCAAGAAACTCCAATGGGAATGCAAATTCGCAGATCTCATTCCCATCGATTACATTGACACTTGTGCTTTATCTCGCTCTATCATCTTGCATATTCATAGCAGCGTCATTTTCTTATCCGAAGATAAGCAAATACAAGAAATCATCTAATTGGAGCAGGAAGTGCATTCCATTTATGCTCTGAATGATTATAATGTTATAGGACTGTTTTCCATTGCCAATGATCAATTTTCAATCTTCAACACAAAACTAGTGCAGAATTACGAATTCTTCTCATAACAATGCATTCAATTTGATGTCAGCATCAGTTTCCAACCCTATCGTTTAAATTGCTTCTAAGATTAGAGCACACTTCATTTCGTGCTGATTCGCAATCTAGAACATGTTAAACACTATTACAAGTCGATCTAGTGTGCGGATGTTGTGAGCATCAACAAATGCAGAAACAGATTGCTCGTCGTTACAAAACAGTAAGTGTTGTCCATATTGATATCAGAAATTGAGAACACAACCTCAGAAGAACAATATCTTAACGGTTTGCAATTGAGATTGATGAATTACTGTAGTTCAATATTTGAGGGGCAGTATTATTTCAGTAATGATTCATATTTATTCAGTTTCTGCAATGATGAAGTCAAATATTATAAATTAGTTTAGAATCAAAAGAATTAAATCACTAAGATCAAATTCTAGGACAAAATCCTTTACTACGAATACGTGAATGATTAATTGGTCATTTATTCTCAGCAGCAATCAAAATGCTATTTGACTGTCTACAATCAACAGTTTGAGATCATAAACAGATACGAATTCAATAAGCTACACGAGAGAATCAAGTATTGTCCCTACTACGCTGGAATAGCAATCTATGAATAGAAAGTGCAATATCAGGATAAGGAACCAAATAACAATTACATTCTGTAGACCGAAACCCTTCAAAAAACATTTCTGCAATTGATCGACTTTCGAACTCAGACCTACCAAAACAATAACCAAAATAATAATGAATAGCCTACCATATAGAGTTATCTGTTATATGGTAAGAGTAAAAATAAGATTAGTTGTGGATTCATGTTGGATTACTCAATTGTAAATATCTAAAATATTTGGAACAATCGTTTCATTATCACAAGCACTTACAAATTAAAAATAATCGAGATCTACAACAGCACTTACGAAATGCAACACATCTTTGAATTCAGTATTCTGAATCAGTAGTTACTAACATTTAGAAACAGTTTGCCTCTGGAGGACCTGGAAAGAATCAACTTTCTTAAATAGACTGATCAAAGAATCCTATTCACTCATTTCGGACAATCAACTCCAGGGGAATCCAAGATGAATGGTATAATCCATAGTTTTTATGGCATTAAATGGGTGAGCATCAACAAGGACAACGTCAACATCATCCAGTTGCAGCAGAAACAAGAAATACAAAGGATCTAACGTGTCTTATAGGAGGGCAGCAATTATTTTTATGTTTTATCCAATGACGAAGAAATCTATAAAATCACACCTGATGAAGTTAAGCTAATCTATGTTTCAGGGTCGAAATTGTTATCCTATGTAAGTAATCACAATAATGAATCCATCATCTTGAAATGTAATAATGAGTTGTTGGTGACTGAGTTGGAGAACGCGCAGAAAATTAAATATAATTTGATTTTATGATACATTCTAAATTGTTATATATATAATAATATCAATTATAGAACAATGCAATTATGGATGCAACTGTTATCAACGATGAATATTGGCTGGTCTCTACCTCGATTACATCCGAAAGAGTATTGATAGAAATTTCTGTTTCTATTCCCTCTTCACACATCAAAGTATTTGAATTCCAATGGCAATCAGTGCTTCTTTACTTGCATTATTCCATCTGCAATTTAGTACAAATTTATTTGCATTGCGAATCAACATACACACATCTGTCGCTAGCTAATTCACATTGGGTTTGATCCATGTTTGAGCATAGATTTGATAGACATCCACTGCTCGAATTGTAATAGCAATAATTTCCCATATTCATGCAAGTACAAGCATCAGTGATTTCATTACATGCTGTACATTGATTGTTAGGAAGCAAGACACACAATTGGGATTGGATTTCAGCTCCATTGCAATTGTTGGCACTTGAACCATATTGTAAGCACAATTAGGAAATACAAGAATATTTATTACTGAAAGATTAAATCTATAACCAATAACATTATTTTCCAGCAATTGATTGCTGATTACAAGATGTCTCTTAAGTATCTGTATTAACATATTGAATGAACTCTTCGCATGAAGTCACACCAACGCATAAATTATCATGCCAAATACATTGCTCATTATTGAAATAACCAGTGCATTCATCCTTCTTCAAATACTTACAGAGTTTAAGTTGGCATTCATAATAGGACCACATGCAATTGCCACCGCATTGGTCTTAAGTGAAGTGGGTACAACTTTAATCAATACAGTGATTATTATTGTAGATGTCGATATTGCACTTCTTATTATTGATTTTAAATTTAGTACAATCAGTTACATTGAATAAATCAGAGCATTTACTTGCAGGTTGACATTGAGACTTATTCTTAAAGCATTAATATTGATTAATCTTGGTGGAGTCACACAGATCTAAAGAGATGTCATTGCAAACCCTGTTCCTGCATTTACTCTATTGCAAATCATAAATGCATTAAGAAGCAGTGCATTTATCCCTTGTGTAAAGTGTACAATCGATAATTTCATACACTGAAACCAGTCCTGAGCAGATGCATTCAGAATTGATATACTTACAATTTTACAATTGAGTGCAACCTATTTGGTTAATGCCTGGAGCATCGCATGTATCATTCGAATATACATCGATGCAACCTCTGGAGAGATAACTGAACTTGCATCCTTAGGTATTCAAGGCCTTGCATACATTTTGATTCACATTCACTAAATTGTTACACACTGTAATACTCCCATCATAATACTAGCATTTGTAATCCACAAACTGACACTTTTCATTTTCCACTAAAATACATCCTAATCTATTGAGTCCTGTTGTTTTGCAAGTGTCAATTTTAGAATCAAAGAGAGTTGTGCATTAGCCATCTGATAAATATTTGCATACTACATCATCCACATCAATTAATGAACAAGAAACTTAATTAACATTCTTTAATTCGTTGCATTAAGTAACTCCACTTATTATTGTATTGTACTAACATTCTTCATTCAACCATATGGTTGGCTATTATGTGATACTTAGACAAGCTAATCTATTCAAACCATTTAAGGTACTCACAAAATTTTAGAACACCAAAGTTGTTTCAACAAAGGTTTTACAAGATAGGGTTGAACTATCATGGTAGCATTTAAGATTCTTAGAACTAATTTAGGAACATACTCTAGGTGATACTGTTTGATACTCTTCACAAGTCGAGTATTCATTGGTGTTACTGTAACTTACACATTTGTTACTAACCCAATCACATCTGTCTGCCTTGGTCTTCAAACAACCAAAATAATTCAATCCTGGAGTGCTGCATAAATCAGTTTCATTATCTGCATACACACATATAAAGTTAGTGCTATCATATTTGACAGAAACATTCTCCAAATTCTATACTAGACCATCTTTTATTGTATATGCTCTTCTGCAGACATGTTGATTAATTAAGATGTGATAATCTATTGCAAATTGATAATCAGTATCATCTAGTTAGCTGCATTACTGACCCAACCATTTACAAAACTGTCCTTCTTTAATTACATTTACACAACCGTAGACGTTGAGATGATCTGAACAAGAAATAGTTGAAGTATCAATATATTGGCATTAACTATCTTTGTATATACATTTCTCATTTTCCTTTGCTACTGCCAAACATCCATATAATGATAATTCAGAAGTACAACTGACTTCATAAGTGTCAGCACTTCTGCATTAATTGTTGGTCCAATGGCAAATTTATCCTTCGTTGATCGGAGCAACACAGAATCTTTTTTAAGAGTACTTGAACAATGGACAAGTCATGTCTTTGGCCAAAGTCTCATCAGCCAATTAGAGACACTTTCCAAGTTGAATATTCCAATAACAATTTAATGATGTATTTTTCTAGCAACCCAGAGGACTGAATGATTAGGTGCATACAGATTATTCAGTTTCAAGATAACATGAGGATCCATTATGCGCACAATAATCTGTTGAAAAGAAGTAACAAATTCCTGGAGATATGGGAGTATCCACATAGGCAGAACAAGGTTTCATATCCCCAGTATAAGTCAAACACTGATGATTTGTGGAATCCCATTTGCAAGCAGTAGAAACATTATGCAGACAAGTGTATTTTGATGTTATTTCTGGACAACTCCTGAATATTGAGCCTGGAGCTACACCTATACATGAAGCATTATTCCATATGCAATTATTTTCGATATATTTACATCCAATCACATTAACAAAGTCATTACAGACACTTCCTGTGATAGTGCTACTGCATTTTTATTCAACTGGTTTGTATTGACAAGGATCTGTGAGTGTTGATTTTTGACAAAATACATTATTTTTGGCACTGATTGAATTCATTTAATCACATGAAGTATTGCTATCATCAATAGGCACACATTGATTAGTGGTATCTAATTTACACCCAGTAAAATTAGCGCAGTATCCTCTACTGACTTCATTTTGTCCTGTTCCTGGACAATTTAGAGGTAGATTTTTAGTGTCCATATTTTTGCAAGTCTACTCATTTGAATCCCAATAACAACTATTGATATTGTTGAGACATCCAATTTTATTCATTTTATTTTAGCATTATGAATTGGTCCCTGTTAATGTACATCCATAATGATTGTTACTTTCAGCACAACCAACATCTGTAACAGTAACACAATAGGTCTAGGATAAGGATGAGTACTTCAAGGCACTACAAGATGTAATCTAACCTGGGATGCATTTTAAATTAGTTTCATCGTACATACAAAAGTCATCTTAAGTAACACAACCTGCAGCATTCAGATTTTCTTCACATCCTTGAGACTTAGATACTGGAGAACACAACAAATTGGTTGAATCCCAACTACAGGGTTGTAATATCCATAAGCAAGCTGTCTTATTGATTGCTTCTTGGCATCTTGAATTTTGGGAGGATAAAGTTGTACAAGTAGTAGAGTAAGTACAATAATCTCCAACTTGTTAGAGACAACAATATTTTGAGTAATTAGCCATGCCATTACAAGTACTTTGATAACTGGATCCTACGCACTTATTAGATGCCCATTGACAACATTTCGTAGTATGTGCTTTGCATGCATTCTCATTTAAGTTGCTTGTACAATCTAAATTAGAATAATTGGTCACTCGCATGCACATTCCATTTTGGTAATAACAATAGGCTGTCGTGTATGCAACACATGCTAACATATTCATTCCTTTGTCGCAATTAGCTGAAGCAACTGTTACTGCTTGACAGGAATTGGCATTCCAAGTACAGGGAACATCAGTGGTCTGTGAACAAACACCAGGATTTACTTAAGAATAGGTCAAACAGTTGTTGCTTACAGTGATTGAGGAGCAAGCATTGCTAGCCCATTGACAAGATTATCCATTATATAATTTTAGACACCCGTTCTGATTCGATGGATCACTGCATTTAGAGGATGTAACATCATTTGTCAAAACATCAAGACATAGGTTGTTTGTAAAGATGCAATTGCCTGAGAGTGCTCCTGCGCAAGCCTTTTGGTTGGCTCCCATTGAATTGCAATTTGGTGCATTGCCAGTGACACATCCATTATTCCAATAACAAGGTTCAGTCAATATGGAAGCACATACTTATGGAGAATACACGTTTGAAGCATATGTATTACATAGGTCCGTTGATTGAGTGGTAATGGATGTGCAAGATCCACTATTCCATTGACACAACTATTTTGGAGTTTGGATTCGAACACATGCAGATTATGTAAATGCATATTCACTTGTGCATTGAGCATCATAAGGAGAGGTAGTTATGTCAATACAAATTTAATAATAATAACATGAATTCGCTGTGTTATTAATACAAGCAATTTAGTTAAGGCCATCACATGGTTGCATTGTATTGGCAGGTATCACACATTGAGATGATAATCCATTGTCCTAAAATTAACATGATTGACTCTGATAATTGTTTTGCATACAAGCATATGAATTCACATTGGTTAATGTTGAACAATCATCGTTTGGTGTTATGTATACACATTCATTATTCTACCATTTGCATGCAACTACTCTGCTATTAACACATTATTTAAATGACACTGCACTTGGACATGGGAAGTCTGTTGAGGTGATTACACTACAAGTGTAAGATGAGAATTCACAGGTTTGTGAAGTAACATAAGTCAAACAATAGACAGAATTTATACTAGAGTTTGAATTACATTGTGTTAGAGGTGTAGTTTCAACCTTACAAATATGATTGACTGCATCATAGACACACGACGAATCAGAATTAGCATATTTGCATGTTTTACTATTCACTGTTTTCTTGCTTGAGTCTGAATAACTAGAACAACTGAAATTCATTAGAGTGCTCTCAGATATTTCACTGCATTATTAAGTTTATTTGTCGAATTAACATGCCACCTTTTACACATTTACGCAGGCATCTTCATTCAAATACTCAAAGTCTCCATTTACCATTGAAATGTCAGTTATGATTTAGCATGAATTCTATCTGTATGCGCAGTAAGATCCTTTTGTTTTCTAGACACAAGCTAACAAATTTAATCCAGGCATATTGCAAGGGTTATTACCAGTTGTGATAGTGATGCATACTTTATTTGTATTATCATAACCACAACTTGATGACTAGATCTAAGAACAAATCATTTAATTGAACTTACCTCCTGATGCAATGTTAAATTAATTACATTATGAATTCTCATCTACCTTTACACTTACACAAGTATTATTGAACCAACCACAAGTAGATGTATTTACTCCTATGCAAGAAGCATCTGAATTCTTGTTATTACAATCATTTTATGGTGGTGATGGTTTTGATTAGCACAAGTATTCATGAGTATTGAATGTGTCACAACTGGAATTCAATTCGCAAGCTGCTTGATTCTAACCTACTTTACAACTTGAATTCATTTAAATTGAATCACAATGGAAGGTACCAGAATTGTATTCACACATTTCATTTGACGTAGTGACCATAGCACAGACTATAGCGTTGTATTATTGAGTATTCAGAGAAGCACAGGTGACTGTATCATATGTAATGTCAGTCACATTCTAGCATTTTTTATTGGGTTAGTCCCAATAACAAGCTTCTTTTTATGCAGCCAAACATCCTAATTAATTTACTGAATCTTTGCATCCAATTCTTTTTGCAGTGTCATTTGTTACTTATGAACATTTAAAGGCTTATTTATCAAAATAGCATGCTCCAGTTGTATTGGAGATGCAAGCCTATTCATTCAGTCCACTTGCATCGCAAGATAAATTATTGACTGCATTGTTAATTACCACACAATTCTTAGTGTTTGGATCGAATCTACAACTTGAGACTGATTTAGTACTAGCACAGGTGTTCGAATTGACTAATTCATTCAAATAACTGCTGCATTCAGATCCAGTGGTAAGCAATTTGCATTTGATATCTTATGCAGAGGAAACCCATAGACAATACTACCCAGATGTAGATATGCTTGAACATAAATTCTTACCGCATTATTTGCATAATAATTAGCTTAGTAATGGATCATTTGGCGCAGTTATTTATTAACACTTTAAGGACGTGGTGTTGAAATAGCAATTTATAGATTTGTTTGAAAACTTAATGCAAGCATGCAAATTGATATCTAAAGTACTCCCGCAATCAGCCCAGTCATTAGCACTCGTATAGAGTGAACATTGTTTAGTAGTACCATTGTAAGTGCAGTAATTTGAATCGCCTACCCATTTGGACTGACTGATTTCATAAGCTAGGCAAAACAATTTGTTAACGTTTTTGTATTGTGAGCATTCATTGGAGACTGGAAATGTTTATAATTAACAGATGGAATCAATTGAGTTCCATATACAATATTATCCCTATAATGAGATGGACAGACAAGTTGATTTGGATGGGAAATTTGTGTCGCATTTGATATTGGTGAAATCAGTAGCAGTAGTACATTGTTAATTCACTGTATCAAAGTAACAGGACTGTTTTAAGTAGGCACATGCATATGGATTTAGACCAGAAGCAGTACATGAAGTGCTGGGATCGACTGAGGCAGAGCAACTTTAAACATTTGAATCGTATCTGCATTTTTCAACTACTTATTGAACCATTGCACAGGTTTTGGACGTAACACTTTATAGTGAGGAACATGTAACAGCACCACCTAGACTTTCAACAGTGGCACATTGATTGGACAACCATCGGCAACTTAATGATGAGTTGGTGACACTAGAACAACCCTTTTGGTTCATTCCACTAGTGTCACAACGGATGCTGTTACTCATAACAAAAGTCTCACAATTGTTGGAATCTGAATTATATTTACATAATTGTGGTTAGAGATTGATGATATGATTTACCATCCTACAAGCAACAGCATTAACTAGTTTTAGAGTAGAACACTCATCTGTTCTCTGGATTTTAATTGACATGCACATACCAGAGAATTCATTCCATTTACAAGATGACATTGTGCTATTCAAACAACCCAATCTATTGAGTCCCTCTTGTTCACAAGCCAAGGCTCCATCAGTAGTTTTGCATTTGCCATCACTCCAATAACAGGCTTCAGTAGTCACCTTACGACAAGCATTGGGATTATGAGATGTAAGATCTGCACACATGGTTTCAGGAGTCACTTAAAAGATTTTACATTACGATCCATTGTAATAGCAAACTTAACTTGGATTTTTTAAATTCAAACAACTTATTTCATTTAAACCACTAGTACATTTCAGTTGATCCAGTGACTTGATTTTTAAACATTATCCATCAATAAATTAGCAATTTTAAATAGCCATATTACATGACAATTTGTTCTGTCCCAACTTCCCACATTCTTCATTGTCATCAAATAGACACCCATTATCGTCACTCCAGTAACAGCCAGAAGAACTTTGTCGACAACTGGTCTCCGTTTTCATGTTGCTTTGTGATTTGCACATTGAGTTACACTTCTTTGTTTATGAATCGAAAAAACAGGCAATACTAGATACATTTGCACAAACACTTGGAGATACTTACATATCAAAAGAGCAATCATCACTGGCTTTGACTGACTTGTATGAGCATTATCCTGCAGACCAATAGCAGGTCTCTGAGAAATTAGTCACTGAGAGACATGCCAACTAATTCAAAGCATCCGAGCATTTAAGATATCCAGTAGATTTAACTTATTAACATTTCCCATCCGCAAAGATGCAACTCTCAGTTGATATTTTTATACATCCTAACTTGTTTAAACCTGCTGAAGAACACCCCAAATACTAGTAGACCATTTCAGGAGGCTTTACGCAACCGGGAATCAACATCAATTCTTTATATGTGTTCGCCTGATTACTCAATATGTACGTCTTATAAAGGGTGGTTAAAACCAAATGGGCTCCGGATTGATGAACAACTTAACTCGTTATTCTTACTCATTACCTGCCGATGCCGTTATCAAACGACAAATCTTCACACTCACCAACTGAATTGAATCCGATGCGCTCCAAGCTATACTGTTGGCTTCCGATTCGGAAATGGTTTAACAACTATCATTCCAAAAACAATAGTCGTCTTGGACTGCCAAACAAGCTGCCCGGGAGAGATTCTTCGAACAATTGCTTAATAAGGTGGTCACCTTACGACAGTATCCGCTAAAAATGCCTATGGTTTTCATCAATTTTCAATTACATTCTGCCATTGTTCCATCTGGATAATAGGTTTAGGCTATGCAAGTTTGGAAGCTGAGTAAATTGGAGCATCCAAAATTGACTCCATCCGTATACAAACATTGACTTGTTATTTCATTCCATCTGCATTTGGAATCGCTATTTTAGATGCAATCTATTTCGGACTAGTAGTAATCGCAAGACAAACTAGCCCCAGATATTAAAACCAATAAGAGTATTATAAAATATTTCATTTTATTATTAAGTAAAACAATTAATTGCATAGAAATCAATTATTAAATATATTTTGCATAAGATTCCACCGTACGACTACCTGTTCCCAATACGGAATCTACTTCTCTGTCATTATCTTGTTCAATTGCGTTAGAAATTGCTTGTCAGATATTGTGTTCCTCTTGTCCTGTTTGCTTTGCTCCTCCTATGGCAAATCCAAATCTATATACATATCTCTGAATGTGCCATTGGTCTGAACATCGTTATTCACAATCACTATTTGCGGTTATTCGTCATCTGATAGATCGTTTATTTGATCCTAAAATAAACATTTGATCTCAAAAAACAGACATTCAAATTTAGATTATTTTTATAAATCTCTCAAATTTTTTTCCAAATCGTCCTGCTACAATGCACATTGAATCATGTTCAACAATAAGTTGAGATTCTTCACACTTGTGTAATAGGAATTGTTTCTTGATGCCAATTGTATTACCGACACCACATTGTCCGCCTTCAACTTCTATATTATTGCTTCATTCTTGCTCTACCCCAAATGATCATTGACTATCAGTAGACATTCCACGAATATCTCCAATAAATCCTACTCTATTGTCTCCTAAGGTTTTCCCATTCTCTAGGCCACCAGACTCACGTTCCCCCTATTTTCGAGGATTGTGTGCCAGAGTTCTCGCTTTTCATATAAGGTTAATTACGGCCTGTAGAGTTCTTCTCTCTCTCTCTTACACATGTACATAAATATTTTAATTGCAAAATAACATCATGATTCCTAGAAATGGTTTAATAAAAAATCATTTTTATTTTTAATCGTTATAAATTTGAAATTTCTATGGCTTCATCAGTCCTTCGTTCTCAAATTCCCTTAGGAGGAATATGCGATGTAGAATCAGCAAAACACGTTGCAAGACGTCTCTTCGAATCTTACGATCGAGACAGAAACGGAATCTTGGATCAAGGAGAAGTGGCACCCATGATGGTTGATGCCTACAAAGGAATGTCCAAAGGATTCAACCCAAGCAAATCAGACATTGACACCTACTTGAGAATCCTCGATAGAAATGGAGATGGCAAAATCACAATCCAAGACATCGAAGCCTTAGCCATCAAATACCTAGTTGGCATTACTGGAGAGTCTCCAAAAAGACCCAAGAGACAATACTCCAAATTCGTCGAAGAGCGTCTTGATGTTGCAAGGAGACTCTTTCGTAAATTTGATTAAGATGGTTCCGGATTCATCACTGAAAATGAAGTAATTTTTTATTCTTAACCTCCCCTTTAGGTTCCATAATTATTAATTGAAACCTACAAGTCTATGGGCATCCATTACAATCCCACTTAAGAAGATGTCAAATCATGGATGAGAATGACTGACCTTAATGATGATGGCCAAGTTTCACTTGAAGAATACGAAGACTTAGTTATTAGATCACTTCAACATGCAGGAATCCAACTTGAATGATATATATATATATAAATACAATTCTATAAATAAATTCAAAAATTCCCCTTCTCAAAATACCTTGATATTATTTGCTTTGTCTCACCCTCATCATATACTTTAAACCGCTAGAATACTCTCTTCATGTTAGTACTAGTTTTCTCAAAGTTTGTGTTATTAAAATCATCGCCTTGTGGGTATTCTCTGATAGGCGAGGGCTACCCATTTTGGGAATTCTTAAATTCCTCAATTTCCTCATCGGGAGTCTTCAATTAGAACTCCTTTAATTCTCCTCCCAATTAAACACTTGATTTCAAGTATTATTTCTCTACATTCGGAAACAAATTCTTTATCGATTATGTATTATTGCTATGATTATATGGCATAATATGATCCATTGATTTCGTAGATATTAAGGCACTTTTGTAATTTTTAAGTTGAGAATTCTAAGAGAACACTGTCTTGTTTTATATTCCGAATGCCTAATCCTGTTTAAATGTTCTTATGCTTGTTGAGTATTGAGTGTATGGGTCCTTCTTGATTACAGGATTAAAAGGATGCTTGCCAATCTTCCCTAAGCCTCCTGATCTCATTTTCTTAAACTCAATCAAAGAATTCTCTTATTCAATGTATATATAATTATCGTCAGGATTACGAAACGGCATTGGTTTCCATGCAGTTTTCTCTGTAAACTTACCTCCAGCTTATTTGAAATCACTCTCACTTACCCATTTCTCTCTTTAAGTTGGCTTCCAATTTGGTCTATAAGCCATTGTCACATCCCTTGATGTGTGATCTATTTAGTTTGAGTTCTCCACTTGTTCTTGCAATCTTTAGTTCTCAGTCCTGGGGTTCTTACCAAACCTTAGAGGCATTTTTTCTTTAGCCAATATCTCATTCCTCATATTCAAAGGTAGTTTCATATATGGACCTGCCTGTAAATGTCCTCTCAGAAACTCATCTTAAGCTTCTTACGCTTTCTCTCTTTCTGACTTATAATGAAATGGAGTTCTCTGATGAGTCCTGTCCACAAATTCATGTAAATCAGGATTAAGCAAAGGTATGCTTCCACTATTTATACCTGTTATTTAATATTCAGTATTATACTCTTTAAAAAGCTTGAGTTATGATTCGAATTGATATACTTTTAAATTCTCTCAGAGCTTTAAGCAGCCAATTAAAATACATTGTTTTAATGACTTTTATTAACTTTCATAATAATAAATATATTTATTCACTCAAATTTAGATCCGAAGTACTATAAATAATAAAAAGATATATCAGATTATAACTACATAAAAATATTTCCAATAACATCCTCTATTTTAGTTTATAAATAAAAGTTCAATTATCCTTACCAACATTATTCAATGTATAATCAGCCAAATATTTAATGAAAAACCAATCGAAATAAAAATTTAATTGATACTTGAATTCATTAAATGTTAAAAATAATGTTGGTTAAAATTTATTAAAAATAAATTTTTATTAAAGACGCTTTTATATATCATAATAATCTCATTCTAAATTCAAGAACTCAAATGAGATCGACAACTTTTTGTAAGACTGCTAAAATTATGTTAAATTTGAATCGGAAAGAATTTAATACAAAATTAGAGTTAATAATTAAACTTCCTATAGGAGTGTTATCAATAAATTATTGAAATCCATTAAGGAGATGGCATTAAAATTGAGGTAATTTATGTAATTAGAATATGTAAATATACTATTTAAATAATTAATATTTATGTAAAGACTAATTTAAGTTTTTATTCAATTCGTTAATCTAAAAATAAACTAGGGCTGTAGCTTCGCAATAATACACATTTAAATATTATTAAGAATATATATAAATATTAATATCTTAATTAATGAACAACTCTGGTTTATTAACACAGAATCCTTAAGAATAATTAGAGGAGCGGATAAAGGCATTATCACTCAATTACAAGGGAAGCATCAATGAAACCTAGATTTTCAAAATGTTCATAAGTGATAAGGAGGATTAATTTGCATAATGGAAAAATGCAGAAAGTCAAGTAAAATCAGTTTGTGGAGCCGATGTATAAAGTGGAGAACTGACATTCTAATGTTTCACTTGCGCCCCTGATCCTCATCATATGTACTGCTAGAAGTGCTTTGATCCAGATCTACATCTGAGTATGATTTTTAAATTGAATAGATCATAAATGCATCATTAAGCATCTGATTGGCGGCGCTTGTGATTGTGGTGATGAATAAACAATCATTCCATCCGGGTTTTGTTCAAAACATCAAGGAGTCTCAAAGTTTGATTAAAACTAGGAGTTAAAAAAAATTTCAGATCAACTTAAAATGAATATAGAAAATTTCATAAAAGCTTTGTGTAAAATCTACTTACAACTTATGAGAAGAATAAAATCAGATCATGACATGTATAATCCAAAAATACTAAAACTTTATCACCTAAGCGAAAAGTGGTTGATTATTCCTTTCAAAGAGGTTATAGATTCTGAGTATGATTTGGAGGAGTACTATAGAATCTTCTAGTAAGCCTTATATTTGAACTCAATTCTTGTTAAAATGTGTTATTGGTTTACAGAATCAAGACTGTGTTTCATAATTTTGCTTTCCTAGATCTTTTAGTCCCAATTGACACCCGAATCCAAACAGACACTGTTTGAAGATTTAATGGAAGTTCAAGTATATTTGGAATTCTTGGGACCATAGCCAGCCTAAAAAATAGAAAGTTTATTATTTAGGCTTTACGCTGATTACCAATTTAAGTAGTTCATATAGGTTTGTTACATAAAGAAATATTCGTCAATGTGGTTACAGACTAAGTAAAAAGTAACTCAGCACGATAAATACATAGATGATTATATAGTCAAATTGTCAAGCATACAAAATTAGCAGATTGTTTAAGCACAACATGAATACTTAGTGAAAATGGCTTAGGTAGTGAAAGCCTATATTGAAAAATATAAAAAATCAACAGAAATAACAACTGGTTTGTATGTCTCTGAAATCCATGAATAGCACACTTAATATGTGGCAGAAAAATTACAAGAAATATTCCTAAGTCATAAATATCTCTAAAATCTCTACGATTAAATTAGAGACTTATTAAATCTAATCTACTCCCATAAACCAATTGCAACAATATCTCATTTATCTTATTCTTTAATTTTCAAATTAAGGTACGACTATAATTTTTTCTATAAATTTGGGTTTTAACAACTGCAACAAGTCCTTGGGGATTAATATTAACAATTTTTCACGATTAACATCAGCAAGGAAACCATTAAAAATTTTAAGTATGATTAATTCACAATAACCTCCTATTTAAACATTTATAATTCAATTAAACCTCAACATTTAGACATTCCAAAAGATCAGTTAACTATTTTGCTATAAGATACATATGATGGGTTCTACTTTCTAATATGTTAAGGTTAGGCTGTTTAGGTTGTTTAAACAGGAATTCAGAAACTATTTGCTTCTTAATTTAGTACACCAGAATTTTAAGAGAACCTAACTAAAGTATTGTTAATATAATCCTATTAAATTTTGAAAAAGAAATGCTAAGGTATTTCGGTAGATGATTAATTGAATGAGGCATATAAAAAATACATTGAGGATCAAAATTTGAGTAAAGCTGAATTGTTTGACAGATTAGCAAAAATTTATTTTTTTTTGATAAAAAGTATAAGCGTGGTTGAAAGAGTATTTACTTTTCTCTTATCGTATCTATATTGTTTGAAGATTTTTTCATCTGGAAAGGAATTCGAATCCTACCTACTTGATATTTTGGAGGAAGACAAAAATGAATTTAAAAAGATCTTCTATGAAGTCTTATCAAAATGCTTATAGATTTATGTGACAGTATAGTTTTGTGACAATCAGTATTTACAGTAAATTTATTTGGGTTTGAATGATTAATAAGAAATAGGGACTTTTGAATCTTATGATAGTTCATTTTTGAGAATTTACTTGTTTTTATTTGAAAATGAAGGCTTTTAGGATTTGATTCAAATTATGAAGAATCGAAGAGTGCCAAAAGAATTAGGTAGTGAAAGGATACTTTGGTATATTTATTTATTTTATCAAATAGTTCTTTGCTATTAAGAATTTTTAGTTCTGATCTTGATATGTATAATGTTTGCAGCTAAACACTAAAAGAACTACCAAAAGACTTGAAATTATCATTAGCGAAGGCAATCTAAAATTTTTACAATCTTTCAACATATCTCTCTTTTACTGATATTGAGGCTAAGTTAAAACGCATGGGCATTCAAATTTGTTCTAATCTTCCAGATCATGTCCTATAAATTTGTGAAGTTGACCAAGCATTAAAACAATTGAAATTAAAATCAGATTACAGAGTTATTTATGAACCAGCCATTTTTTACATTAATACTTCTATTAATAGTCAGATTGTTGAAAAATTAGTAGAATAGAATAAATCAGAAACTGAGATTCTTTTGGGAAATGGAATATCTTGGGATGTTGAACTATTTTCAAAAAACAATTACAGGACCATCCTTTACAGCCTTTTGAAGCATTACTGCTAGAGAGAATACATTTAAAAAAATATTGAATTACTAAAAACAGAAGGATTTGCCTTAATACAAGCATATTAATTGCTCTATATTTAAATAGTAGCAGCCAACCATTTTGTGAAATAAGAATTTAAATCATATGCTCCTTTCATAATTAATGAACTTGAGTAAATTCTTAAGGTAACTCAACGAAAAGATGACATTCAGAGAATTTAAGTATTGATAGCAGAAATTGTTAAATACATAACTGTTGTTTAACCAGTTGTTCAGAAATAACCACAAGATAACAAAGCCAATTTATAAAATAAGAAGAATCAATTCAAGGAGAAATATAATAAATTGCAGAACTCAGAATTTATACAAAACATGCTGGATAATAACAATATTAAGGAGAACAAGGTTGAAAATAATTAAAAAGTATGCTCATCCTGTAAATTACCTTTGATTTAAGAGGCTAGTGTAGCCTTAATGTTATTGATCAGAAAACCTTAAACTTCCAACTTTTCTATCATATCTAAGGAGGGTTTAGAATGTTTCAAAAACGCATAATATAATTTGATTGATGTGGGAATAGCAACATGTCAACATTATTTCCATTATGCTTGTTTAATAGAGAGGTTCGAGAGTGATTAACAATATCGAAGACAAAATGCTCCTGATTGGGTTAAGATTGGATGTCCAGTTTGTAAATTGCCTTGCACAATTACTTTACCAATATAAAGGTAGTTGACTTCAATAGATGTGGAATCCTTTAATTAGGATCTACAGTTGTTTGTAGCTAAAAATTTAGTTGAGAATTTATTTGAAAATCAAATTACTGCATTAGAGACTCTATCAGAAACATATCTCAACATTTTCTTTGATTTGCTGATTTCCTTAATCCATAATCCATCATAGTATATAAGGGATTAAAAAGATATAGTGTTCAATCATTTACTTTAAATCTTGCATGCTACAGATATGGAAGCAGCCAAAAATAAAATTATTGAGAAATTCCAATTTTAGACAGAAAACAACTTTATTTTAAAAATACTTTCTTTAATTTAACAATATGTGATTGTTGAAAAAGACATGTAAAGGTTCAAATTAGAAGCCATTTGTAGTTGCATTCAATACAACATATCTAATGATATTAAAAGTTAGATAGTTTTGTCATTAGACATAAAGGATGAACAAGAGCAAAAAGGCTTATAAATCCAAAAACTTTTAAAGAAATAGGAACATCCCAATCAATATGCTATAATAAATTAACAAGAATTGGAAGACTAATTAAAAAGCATACTTGGCTCAACATTTGAAGAGTTTTATTGTAAATACTTTACTAAAAAGTGTTTTGCTTGTGGATTCTACAACAAAGACCAAAAACATGAAGGATTTTACGTGTGTTTATTCTGTTCAAAAACATTCTGTATATATTCATGTAAAAAAAACATGCAAATGGGTAATTTAAATCAGCATGCAAATAAGGAGCATAATGGAATCTCTATTTATGTTAATTTGAAAAATGGGTATGTAACTTTGTTATGTTCCCCAATATCCATTCAGTATTATAAATGTTTGTTTTACAATCAACTGGGGTAAACAATAGAAATCGAGAATCCGAATTCAGATTGGAAGTCATTCCATTTAGATGTTTAAAAGGTAAAAGAAATTTCGCAAATTATCATGAGCAGTTCATATTAAGCAATCATTAGGAACATAGAAGTCAGGTAGCACTAATTGGATATGGAGGGATGGCTTTGAATTAGTATGCAATGATTATTGAGTATCAATAAATTTGGTTAATAATTATGAATATTTCTAATTTTTTCCAGGAATGCGTCAATACTGTCATGGATACACGACCAATTCAGTATCAACCTTCGATGCAAATAAGTGAAGGAGAGATTTTAGTTAAAGGAAAAACATTTGGTAGATGGGAAACTAAGAAATTTATTATTGATGACGAGAAGAGGGTTTTTGCACTTAGGAGTTCTAATGGAAAAACAAGACTAAAACCCTATTTTCTGTAGGAGTACTAAGTATGAAGTTAAGTATTCTACATCTTAGGTTGAGAATAAAGAGAAGAAAAAAGATAAAATAACATTTGATTTAACTTCGAAAACTGGAGGAAAATGCTTAACACTTGGGATCGAAAACGAACAAAAGGCTAACGAGTTCATTAATACCCTTCAGGATCTTTGCAACAGAGTAGAAGTAAAGCAGAACGTGAATGAAACTATATAACAGAATATTTAAGATCAAAGCCAAAACAATTAGCATTGTACCATTATTATAAATTATAGGGAGAAATCAAGGTGAATGAAATTGATTATGAAATTCCGAGCTTCTTTGATATTGGAGAAATAAGAGATAGGTAAAAGAGTGTTTTAAAAATAGTATCGCTCATATAAGGATGGGATAACACAATTTGGAGAATTTTAAATTAGTATTTGAGAATAAATTATTAATATATAGAAATGAACACAACCATCATTAATTTAAAGTTTTCATGGAATTTGACGGTGATTGTAATTTTTATATATTTATTACAATTACATAGGCCGAGATTCAATTATTCAGAATTTAACAGATTATAATAAAATTAATTAGTGGAATGCTTATATTAATGCATAAGATAGTAGAATGATAAAAGAGTTACATGCAGATAAATCTTTCTTGATATGTGAGATTCGAGAATTGTCAAACCTATTCATCTTTAAAAGAGAATTTCAATATTTGTAGCATCATTTAAGAATCGATAATGTCGATTTTATTGTATAAAAATAAATTGATCAAAAATCATACACTAAAAACTATTAAGGAAGTCTTAAATATGGTGTCTGGGCTGTTTAAACAAGGTACAATGTGCATCTCTAATTTTAGGGAAAATACAACCAAACTCTATTACTTCTCTGAACAATCTATGTAAGGGCTCTCTTATCCCGATGAAGATGGCTATCTTATATAGCTATTTTTAAAACAAATAATCAATATCTATTAATAAAGTAGCAGATCTTAATAAGATATATCATAAATTAAGTAGAATGAGCAAAATCTATAAGTATAATAATAGAATCAAAACCCAGCATTAACAAAAAAATTATCAAATAAATAAGAAGAGAAGGAGGAGTTCTTTGATTGCGAGGAAATAGATGCTATGAATGATAAATTGTTTATGGTTGAGGCAGATACCAATAAAAATAATGAAGTGCAAGATGAAGTTGTGAGGGATGTCTATGAACAGAACATTAGAAGATTGACCTCTCTTCCTTAATAAGTAGACGCATTGGACAATATTCAAGACTGGGTTGACAAAAAGATGAAATTAGTGTTATCTGGAAATTATAATTCCTACTCCATTAGTGTTAAACATTAATTGTAACCTAAAGAATATGATCCCACATAACGTTAATTATTAACGTAATAGGAAGGTGGACATTACATTTTCAAGAAGGATTTTATAAGGGAAGAGAAGAGTGGAGGATTAAAGGTGATTAATGAGGAAAAGTTAGCTGCTTAAAAGGCTGTCATCAAATTCTTATTAACTAGAATTGGTGCTTCTCTTATGATGGGCAAATCAATTACTAGCATATCGATGCCAGTATCTATCTTTGAGGCTAGATCAAATACTGAGAGAGTATGTAATAGTATGGGATTTGCACCTATTTATTTGGAAGATGCTGCTTAATCTTAAGATGTTTATTACAGGATTAAATAATGTGCTGCTTTTTAATTTGGATTTATATTTATGTATCTATCTTGTGAAAAAGTATTCAATTTACCTATCAAAGCCCTTCAATCCAATATTAGGAGAGACCTTTTAAGGATTCTATGATAATTGTCCCATTTATTGCGAACAAATTAGTCATCATCCTCCTATTTGTGCCATTTAAATGTATGGTAGAAAATACAGGTAAGATTTATTTAATAATCCCTATTAGAATAGATGCTTAATTGGAACTGATTGCTAACTTTAATTCTAATTCAGTGGTTGGCAGAAATGTTGGTACAGTCAAAATCACATTCGAAAATCCTCATTAAGTTGTATTGATCACTTTGGCTCCAGGTAGTTTGAATGGAACAACCTATGGAGATAAGGTTATGAATTATCTTGAAAAGTAATTCATAATAGATATAAAAAATAAAATAATTGCTGAAATTACTTTTAATCCGGATAAAAAATATTGTCAGTTTTTTGATGTTGAATACGTTAATCAATTGGACTATTTGTGTGGAGCTATTTGTGATGTGACTGATGCGGCAATTTAGAAATATCACAAGGAAGGATATCGCAAATACAAAGGGTTGGATCTAAAATCAGATATCAAACAAATTAGACATAAAATCAAAGGAATATGGGTGAATGAAATCAAAGTATTGATATTGCTATTATACCTAATAGATAGATAATTAGAAGCTAATTTCTATTTACAATGACTTTCCGGTTAAAATGTAATTGGCTTAATATCCAATTCCCTCAGATGCCAATTTCAGAATGGATTTGCTGTGGTGGAAATTGAGAGACTTTGATTAATCTTAATAGTGGAAAGAGAAATTGGAAATCCTTTAAAGATAAGACAGGAAGTTGAGGGAACAGAAAGGGAAAAAGAAGAAGTGAAATATTAATTTAAAATAATGTATTAAAACGTATTTCTACTCCATATATTATTAATTGATTTAGTTACTCATTCATCATCTATTGAATTAGCTATATATTTTAAGAGATTTTAAGTAAAAAATCAATTTTATTTATTTTATAATGGATCAAGAATCTAATTTTTATTTCAGATTAGAATCAGATAATTAAATCATGAGTGGGTTCCCAACGTTCCAATAAATTGTTTAAATGAAGTATTTGTTATCATCCATAAAGTTTAATGCAATCAGATATATAAAATCCACCTTAAATATAATAGCCTAACCTTATTCATTCTCCAGAAAACTCTATGATAATGTAAGCTTCCCCAATTAATGCTCCTTTATTCGGTAACAATTCTCCAATTCATTCGTAACAGGATGACGAGGATTATTCTCTTGTTAATCAGATTTTTGAATCCCAACTATTTTCATAACCAATATTGGACATTTCCTAAATAAGTCAAATTTAACTTTAACCTAAAACTAAATTGGATCTAACAGATCAACCAAAATACAAAAAAAAAAAAGTTGGATGTTCTTGCACAAAGAGAAAATGTTCTTCCAAATATTGCTTTTGTGCTAAAGTTGGTCAATCCTGTTCCAATCTATGTAAATGTGTCGATTGCAGTAATAACAAATCCTTCATGAGTTAACAAATTCAATTCTCGAATGCTTAAGAATAAAAGGGATGTAAGTGCAAGAAAAACTTTTGCTTAAAAGGTTATTGTGATTGTTTTGCAAAAGGAGTGCAATGCAACTCTAATTGCAAATGTGTTTAATGCAAAAATATGCTAACGATTGAACCTATCAAAGACAAAGTACCAATAATTAAGAAAAAAATAAAAAAGTTTAGTAAGTTTTATAAGAATAAAAAAGGGTTCATTAGAACAAACAAAAAAGGACTAATATTAACTTAAGTAGAAAATTAATGATTAACATAATAATATAATTATGTGTAGTTTTGCTTCTTTTTTTCTTATTGATAATACTTCATAATAATTTATTTACTATTTAATATTCATTTCTATTATATAAAATGAATAATATTAATCATTCCATCTCGACTTAGATTTCTAGACTCTCACACAATTGAATGACCTTATCAACCTCATCCATTAACTATCCTTTGTTTTTACTGTACAATTAGAGTAAACAAGAAGTTTGTTAATTATCAGATTGGCCAGCTTGAATATCTACAATGTTGAATTTACAACCACTAAACCATTTAATACAATAATTACGATTAAACTAGTGATAAGATTTTATTGATGGCACCAGTGTCGAACAAATGTCCTGTTAATTTGATAGCCAAATAGGAAGGCACCTTCTTTAAGGCTTTTTTAGGCTAGAAACTTTCAGCTTCCTTCAATTAATCATTAATATTTCTTAAATGAGTAATATATTAGAATTTATGGGTAAGTTATCCGTGTAATGTGATCATAGCATTTTATAAAAACACTGGTAACCCACTTTCCTCTAATGGCTTGCTAGCATCTGAATAAGCAAGATGAGGAACAATGTCTCTCAAAGCAATACCAAAATCAATGCTAGCATCATAGGGTAGTTGAGATGGTAAAAAGTCTATTGACATATACATAATGTCCTTAGGTGATTTTACATCAAATTCATCATGAATAGATTCAGAGATAGGTTCATAGTAATAGACAGGGTTATCAGGGGTTGTATATTTCTTTAAGAATTGAATTGATCCTTCCATATCGCAAGTTACATCACATACAGCTTGTAATCTGCTCTTTCCTGATTAAACTAAATCCTAAAATATAGTATATTATTTTATTTACTCTCATTTATGAATTTGTTATGTATCTAGGGAATTTGTGATCCCAATAGATGTCATTTACAATAATAGTTAAATATGGTAAATATTTGGTATGGAAAACAGGGGTGTATTAATTTGGATGATTGTAATAATCTGCTGAAGTAAATTCTTTGTCGTAGTCTTCTTGATGTCTAACTAAATCAGTTGTTTTGAATGGACACACATACACTGTTCTTCTGTGTTTAGGATCATTTGGAGTATTCACTAATTCTTTCAATTCTGATGGTTTAACCAATGTTACGTGAAGATTAGATAATGCTTCCATTGAACCTTTACCACATAAACCGGTTGAACCCAAAACACCAATAATGATTGGTAATCCTGCTTCCTTTGGTAGTCCTCTATCCTTGATGGCTTGTCCTGCAACATTGAGTGCTTAATAAGCGTCTTTCTTATTAAAATATTAATAGGTTGGGCCTATTTGGAGGAATGGAGTAGCAATGTCTCTTTTGAGTAAATACTTTCCGTATTCATTCAAGAATGTGATCACTCCTGCTATGCCTGCGTATGGGAATGCAGTAGTATTAACACCCTAATGAATTTATTTTTATTGATTACCTTTTCATCATAAATTCTTTCATAATCCAAATGTCTAATATTTTTCTTTAACATCATATCCAATGCAGGCATGTTGTGTGGCTATGCTTTAATTGTATGAGACCAATGTAAGTAGGTCATTCCTTCGATGTACTTATCAAGTGGAATTTCTTTAATGCAAACAATGCCTTTGCATTAACTCAAGTCTTCTTAAACTAAGCATCCTACTTCTAAATATTGTTCGTCTGTAAAAATTCTTTTTGTTGATGGCTGTACCACCATTTATATTTGTGGATGCTTAGATTAAACATAATTTAATTACTTTTTCCATGATGTATTTGCAATCGTGAGGAGGGATTGGAGTCCTTCTTTCCCAATAAGATTTATCTTCAGCTCTAATACCGATGTACAACTTGTCCATTTCTTTTTCAAAATAATTTAAATATTAAAGATATGAAAATGCGTCACCCAGCTTTATAATGTCAATTAATTAAATTACTTATATAAAATATATTTAAATTTGAATAGTGCATATAATGACGTTTTACTCAAAGTCTTTCTAATTTTCTTATAATTGAAATATTTTTTTACCATTCATTATGTAGCTTATACAAACATTAGAAACAGTAAAAGAGTATTTCGAAGTACTCTAAGATGCACTTTTGAGGTGTATTTTGTATTTAAAATTTGATCGAAAGAACGAATACCTTTTAATGAATTCCAGAATAATTTACTCTTTCTTTTTTTCTTCTTTGGTAAATTTCTCTTTGAGCCTTTGTCGAAGTTTTTCAGTTGATGGAATAAAAATTTTGATTTGATTTTGAACATCGTCTGTTCCATATAAGTATGATTTATTTCATTTTATTAAAAAATAACCGAAATATTAATTCTTCATATTTATTACGTTGGAATTAAAATGGTTCGTATTTTTCAGAATTTGATAAGTGACATGGAATAACATTCACAATATATTAATTAAATTATCTTATTATCATGTACAGATACGTCTCAAGTGAACTTGGCTTCAGAACACCAGCTTTGATTAATTCCATTAAAATTTTCGTAAGAGATTTCTCAGATGTCCCTTCAATTTCTGTTTCGAGATTAAACACAGAAGAAATTAGCTAAGCTATGGAAATTCATTCATTATCATGGCAATAAAGCACAGATTCTACAAAACTTATAAAAGAGTTTAAATTCACCAATTTCAAGTAAACCTTCGTTTTCATGGGGTCAGTCTCTTAAGTTGCCGATTAAATGCAACGTAATTCTTTATTACAATAATTAGATTTCCCAAAATGGGTGTAAAAAGGAAATACAGTGACTGTTGAAATGACAACCTAGGATTGTAGAGGAATCTCAGTCAAGGATATTTTATTAGCATACACAATGGATAACATTGCAAATGATGTTGAAAATCAAAAAGTTGAAAATGTTTGTGACACTGTTAAAGTATCTACAAATTAATTGTTGACCAATTGGAACTCAAATTATACTAAAACCGAAGAATTATTCTAAGGTTTCCAAAAGAATATAGTTTAACTTTGATACCTTATAAATATATATAAGATATTATAACTTCGTTAAATTTAATAAGCTCTCAAAACAGAATTGTCTTCTGAAACAATTATTTCAGATTTTAACAGTTAAATTAAACTGATATTAAATCACATCATAATTTATAAGATTTTAATAACACGCAATTTTTTTGATTTATAAACCTCTAGAAGATCATAATATTTTAATAATTAAATTAAAAAATATTTGCATGTATAGATATATTTCATCATTTACATAAAATCATTTAATCATGGATTCAATAAAAGTTTTTATAAAAGACTTCAAAGAAGTTCCAAAGTTAGCAACCTCGAAACTCAACTTAGAACACATTAATTAACTCAAAGACATCCAACAGCTGTCAGAATAATGGCAATTTAACCCATCAATGACAGTCATAAAGAGAGAATTTGAGTTCCCTACTTTTAAAGAAAGCTTTGCTTTTATGAGCTCTGTTTCTGATTTATCTGAAAAGATGGAACGTAAGATATTTAATTAATCATTTAGATTATCCCAAATGGTACAACAAAGGAAATAAAGTCATTGTTGAAATCACCACTCCAAGCGTAGGACTGACAATAAAGGATATTTTGCTAGCTTACACTATGGATAACATTTCAAATGATATACTGAATGAAGACATCCAATTTATATGTTAATAAAGTAAATTGACTTCCCAATCTACTACATTATTAAATTGGTGGAATAGAAACTACTCTAGATTTGAAGAAGAAACATCTTCATAATTATAGAGAAATGTCAATCAAATTTGATGAAGATCAACCTGATTTTGTCAAATATATGTTATTCAAATTATATATTAAATTTATAATCACATTTTGTTCTCATTCGGCATTTATCAAGTTTATTGATTTGATGTGCATCTAATTGGTCTTTACCTTATCTCGTTAATATAAGTTATTTAAGGTAGATTGAGTATTCTATATAATTTACATAAATTAAGTTTAATCATTAATGACAACCGAATAATAAAGTTCTAATAAGAAAACGTGGGCTGAACTAGCAGAAGAAGAGGATGATGAAATTGAAAATGGTTAATTCACGACGAATTCTGAAACTCTAGACAAAAATGAGATACCTTCTCAACCAGGTTTGACAAAATCTGTATCAGAATTTCAATCCAAACCAAGAAATGAAAAACATAGAAATAATAAATAGAGAGACAATGGTGGTAATGGTCTCAAAAATTATAAACAAAATAATTCACATCAAATCAAAGGAAACAATAAACAAAATAGATAATCAAAAAGTATTCAATTCTAATATAGTAGGCAATTATGATGAAGTTTATGATGCATTATTTGAAACAACCAATTAGGAAATCATTTTAAGAGTTAAACCATAAAACAAAAACGAAAACTTAGAGGCTGTTAAAGAATATTTTGAAAAACAGTATTAAAATATAAAAGCATTTCCAAGAAACGATATTAATTAGGTTGATTTATTGACATCCCCCAAAATTGGGTTGTATATATTGGAGGATCTTAGATTTAAAGTATGATTTATTATCAATTTAGGTCTAAATTGGTGATTCTCATCTTGCAATTTACTATCCTTAAAATCCAAATGAATAATTGTCTGAATATTATGCAAAGAAAAGGTATTTAGAAAAAGAAAAGAAACTTCAATAATCCAGTGCTGTTTTTCAAAGAAGTGCCATTAATTCTAAAGTCAATGATTAATAAGATTACTATGAAAAATCTGATGGTAGTAGCAATAACTTTGAGAAAGTTTAGAATGATTAACCTTAAATTTACAAAGAGAAAGATTACTAATAAGATGAAGAACATGAATAAAATTAATCCTAAAATAGATCAAAATATGAAAAAAAAGATTTTAATATATAAACAAATTATAAATCTAGAAAGTTTAACAAATATACTGAATAATATGATTAAGAATAAGATTTTAGAGAATACAAAGATGAAAAATAATCTAATTATAAATCTCATAAATATAGAAATGAATAACATATACCTAAAGAAAGCTATCAAAATTAAAAATATCATTCAAATAACTAATATGAATACACAGAAAAAACCGCTTCTGATAACAATTAATCTCCTTTTCAATAAAAAGAATAAAATAAAGATTATAGAAATAATTAATATTACTACAATAATAATAACAATAATGGTAATAACAATAATCATCATTATAATTAAAAGAGATCTTACTAAGCAAATAACAAATAAAAGAGTGATTAATATGTTGTTTATGAAGAGAAATAGAAATAAAATTATGAAGAGGCACAAGATATTTCAAATGTAAAAGAAGATCATCATGAAGGTGAAGTTCAGAATCCTTAAACGATTAATCAAGCTATTTAGTAGCCAAATTTGAATGAAGAAATAAATGAGGATATATAAATAGATAGTGAAAACGATTAAGATCAGGAATAAGTTGAGGAAAATAAATCTCCAAGCAAAAATAAAAAGAAGAAAAAAAACAAAAAAGCTTAAAAAGTATAATATTTGATGTTTATCTTAGACTTCAAAACCAAATGACACTAATTTTTTTGGAATACTATAGAGTGTAACAAAATGAAAGATTAGAATCAATATTACAATTTTATTCTCACACAGAATTATCTAATGCTATAATAAAAAACCTCTGTTAGTAAGAAATCCTTCATCTCATTTGTCCATTTTTTTTGTTAATCAATTTCTTGTTTTATACTACAATTTTATTAAGCATTAACTTATAGGGGGGACAAAATTTTACATTTATTATTATTTAATATTAGATTTAAAAAAAGAATTACACCTTATCAAGCACTCTGTCTTTTCTATTATATTCTACAGAATAGTTTTTAGATTTCAAATATATTTTAAATTTATTATATTTCATGGGTTGTGCATTCTAGAAGAAAAAATATTTGAAGAATTCGGAGGGCTTTTAATTTCGTTAAAAATAACTATAACCAGAAGAATAATCAGGATAACAAATGACTAAATCACCATTATGTCGTAGTACAAGAACTCCTTCTACTAAAAACTCTAAAACAATCTCAAGGGAATAACAGATTAGGATTGAAAAACTTTTATTTGGTAAAAGAAGAAGTACAAATACTCCATAATGTCTTGAGGAAGAATATATCTATTAGAGAACTATAATTGGATTGATAGCAAATTGAGTATTGAATATAAACCTTGTATTAGAATGAATATCTAATTAAAAATTATATTAAACATAATCTCATTGATGTTATCATAGAAATAGTTTTTGCTTTTAATAATTTATTAATACTAAAAAATCATTCTTAAATAATTTTTAATTCAAAGTAACTAAAATCTTGAATTTTAATAAATGAATTGTGATAAAGTGATATTTATATATTAGAATGAAGCATATATTCAGGAGAGTTAATGTTTAGGTTTTTTGGTATGCACTAAAGTATTCTAGTTTGTAGGTAGTTGTAAACCCTTTTTGAATTGCTTAGTTAATTTGTTTAAATCTAGTTTTTATGGTCTATTTCTAGCTTATATAAGTTTGATCAATTTGTCTTCCATATTGAATAATTGCCTGCTTTGATGGATAAAAAATGAATCAATAAGAGAGTATTAAATATCGTTAATACCAAAATTGTCTTTTGTGCTAACAGTATGGATGATAGGATGAATATTTTTGAATTGTTTGATTTCCCTTGCTAGATAAAGTTGTCTATCAAACAACATTCTTTCCTTAATCTTATCACATTTTGTTAGCACAATTTATATGTTCACATTTTACTCTTATAACATATTTAACATGACTTTATCTTTATCTTTTAGACCATGTTCAATGTCAATAAGCACATATATTCTTGACAATCTTGATGCCAGTTTTGTGTAAGTGTATATCATTCCTTACATGTATTTTTATGCATCAACATTTATTTAAGAATAGCCATATCCAGGACTATCTACTACATATCCATTAATTGTTTAAATATTGTGAAATTATAATCTTAAAGTGCTACCCTATATATTATATGGTATTTTCTTACAGTTTTGCTTGATGTTTCAGCCACATTTTATCCTAATATTGCATTAATCAAACTTGACTTGCCCACATTTGATCTTCCAACAAATAACACCTCTTTTGGCTTTTTCAAAATTTATTGATCCTGTTTTAATTGATCTATGAGAAATCCTTTCAGTTTCGAAGGAACAATTTCAAATTGATTAGGCAATAAGGATGTGCCTATCTTTAATCCTTTTAGCAAATTTCCATAATCAGAATGATACTTATACAATTAATAATTATGAATATCAAGTGAAGGGTATTTTATTGAACTGAATTTAAGACCAACCTTAATTATATTCATAATTATTTGATTATAATATTTTAATTATTTTGCAACATTTATAATCATGTGAACAAGTTCATAAAATTATTTTCAAATATTGTAAAGAATTGATCAATTTACATAAACAGACTTTTATTTTTTGTCTTTTTGCTTACTGATTCTAAAGTCTTACATATGGGTGATTGTAATAATAGCTATAAAAATTCTGCTGGAATATCTGCTCCCTCTGAAATGATAGTTTCTAAAACAATTATGATCTGAATTTATATCTAAACATCAATATCCATTTAAATCAAATCCATAAGTTTTTGCAATAACCCTTAATTAATAAGATCCATTTTATAATCGATGGTTGCTCTTTGTAATATGATGTCAATGGCATCCAATATGATTTATATATGATTTTATTCTTAATACTTGACACTATCAATTAGCCATTAAATTATTGTTGTTTATTATTGTTCAAATTAACATTTTAGACTTATTAAATTCATTAACTCATCAATTTCAATTACAGAATCAAGAACATCTTTTAAAATTAGCAAACCTTAAGTTTTTATACAAGAACTCTCATTTATCAATCTCATTAAGACCTCAATCAAACCCATATTAATCAAAATATCAATTGGATTATGAAGTTGTTGGAAAGATCGAAATAGATGTCCCAATATTTTTACAATGTAATATTTTGAGCATTCCAAATCTTTTTCATTTTTCAGAAAACTTAATTTTATAAGATTGGCTAAATAGGATGGTAATTATTCTATTTTTGAAATATCATAATTTTCCATTTCAAGTAATTTCAATTACATTTTTCCTGATTTTAGATACAAGAATAATAGATTTGAATATTCATTAGGACTCTTCAAATTTAAAGCAGAAAAGTAAAAATTATTCAAAATATTTAGTTCATTTTCTTAAACATTTTCATTTCTATAAAATCTAATCACATGATAATAAAACTCGATCAAATTAGTTCGCAACACTTGAAACTCATCATATTCAACTATTTTTTAAAATTATACCAAAAAGTCATAACCTCCTTAAGTTAAATAATATTTAACCGTAGACATGTCGTCAATTATTAAGGATTAGAGAATGTTAATAATTAATTCAAGGATTGCTAGATTTTAATAATTCTTGGTAGCTAAAATTGAAGAAATTGTCAACATAAATTATTTTTCATGTTGCTTAATATATAAGTATGCCACTTCATCGAAAAGCAATTAGCAATCAAAATATCTTAGATAATCTACCAATGTCTACGCATATATTAATTTTGATTACATATTCATTAAATTATCTTTAGCAAAATTGGTTAATTATGATATCCTTCAGGAATGATGTTTTCTTGAGAATATCCTTAGTGTTTTGATGTTTTAAAATTAAACATATGCATTATTATACAGATTCCAAATCCATAGACCTCTCTGTTATTTCTCTAATTTAATCTAAAATTTGATCATTTTTTGAATTAAAATTATTGCTTTCAGATCTATTTACTTCGATGATTCTTTTTTTTTCAAATTCCTTGCTCAAGTTCTATTTTCTAATTTAAAACCGAAACGATTCTCTTTTTTATTTTAAATTTTCTTCCACTCCTATCATTATTTTATTAAATGTATATTTTTGTATTAATTGAAATTATTATATATATCATTATTATTCAAAGTTTAAAAGTTTGCAAAATGTCGAATTTTGGTCATTGGATTATTAACTATTTTGAGTTTAATTATGTTGTAACATCGCACTATTATTAGTTCTACTACTATTCATAATTTTAGGGGTTCCTTATTATAAAATTGAAAAACTAGTTTTGCTATTGATCTATTTGCTTTTACTATTTTTTAATTATTCAACTACAAATATTATATACGAATACATTTTTTTAAAATGAAATCTTAAGTCTCCTAACTATAATCTATTTTACTATTAATATTTGAATTGTTGTAAACATTTTCTTTTGAAAATGGCAATTATTGTGGTTTGACCTATTATTTTAAGAGAGGAGATTCCTAATACGCATATAACAATTGTGTTGCTGGTGTCATTAAGCCAGCATGTTAGGATTATATATTTGAAGTAAAAGTCTATTGTCTGGGGAGGATATCCCTTAAAGGTGAATCTAAAACCTTATTGTTCAAGGCTGGATTCTTATTGTTCATTGGAGATTGTGGAACGTTGTTTGATTTGATTTCAGTCGACATCTGTAACATAAATGATTTAATTTAAGGAATGAAGCTTTAGTTATAATAGGAAACGATGTCACCTAAAATATATTAATTATATGCGTACCCATACTGTCATTTGAAATATATGTATTGCAAACAATCTTTTTTATAAATTATTTTGAGTACCAAGTATTAGTGATTTCATAGGCATTAATAATTTATTAAAATTTTAATTGATTTCCAGTTAATTTTGTTACAGCATAAATACTAGCCAACACAACTTAATCTAATGAGTGATGTCTTAAATGGTCAGTCTTTTCACTGATGATATATTTAATAGTAATCCAGATATACTCTTAAAATTATTCTTACAATTTAAGATTACTGCAAATAATTTAGATTTGAAATGCGCAATAATGCAAAACTCGTTTGAACAATCTATTCATCTAATTATTGTTTTATTAGTATCTGCTAAGATGGATTTCATTTAGAAATTTGATCAATTCGGATTAACTATCACAAGTCCAAATGGAATATGATACGAATTTAACTTCAAGATCTAGTATATGTTCTTTAAGTTAATGTGGAATTTTCGAATCAAATTGATTTAAAAAGAAATCCAACCATTTCCAAAGTTGATAATGTTGAATTTCACATTTCTACATCAACTGATCTAAAAGTTGAGATTGTTTGTTAAGAACAAAATAAACACATTCTATGCTGAAACAAATTAAACTCTTAAGCATTTATTCATCGATTTAGAAATTGGATTTGTCTAGTAACAACACATACAAGGTCCAATATTAATTCGTCTTTGATTTATTTTCATCAATTAAATTGCTCTCTTAACAATACTAGATACATTCATTAAATGTTTTGTCTATCAAATCAAAGTATTTCGTTTGATTTTAAAGGTTCTAGAATGTTTAAGAAGTTTAGGATAACATCTAGTTAATATTCAAAATTCCATTCTTAAACATTTTTTTGAAAGGCTACTATTTTTCATGTATCCAATTATACATCTCCATAGCTTCAGTCATGGGAGTGGCAACGATAGATTATTAAGCATAAGGAGACATTAAGACAGTTTATGGCAATTTAATTTCTCTTAAGTTAGTTGTAAGTGTAATTTTAGTATCAAGTTCATAATTTAAAAGTTTTTGATATCTATTTTATTATTGCTATTATTATGAGGCTTATGATTCTCTGCTTTAATCATACTTGGATTGCATAGCCAATTATTTAATATTATTAGATTTTAGAGTGTTTAGATTGGGAGTTAGTTTCTTTGGTGTTAAATTTTTTTATCTATCAGGAATGAGCAATCTTTCATCGAATTCATCTGATTTGAGGAGTTACTTATATTATTAGTCTAATTTATATTAATTTGAATTGATAATGCTGGCCATGAAAATGGAGAATCCAGTGTTGCTCTTTAATTACTTAATAATATTCTGTTTGATTAAATCAGCATATTACAATTTGACTTATAGATTGATTGAGGAGAATAAATCCAAATCTTAAATTTTGAATGAATTGATTAGAAATTATTAAATTTATTATGATTGTTCTTCTTCTCCATTAGCCTGTTTCTTAATGTCTGAGAGTATTTTATTAGTATTAGGGAAAACATTCAATAATTAACTAAGGATTGTGGTTAGGATTGAAATCAGAATGCATGTAGATTGGACGACGTCTTGTAAATTTAAAGATTCTATTTGAATATTGCTGATATTTACTTTTTGTAATCAAAAATAGGAGCCAAGTGATATTTTTAATGAGAATGTTTTAATCATTCATTTTGAAATGGAGTAAAAGTGCCTCCATTTTCTAATAAAACATGTTTAGGATTTAATTGTTATGTTTCAGGAGAGTTAATGTCTTTTAGCAAGTTTAATCGACTTTTAAGTCTGTAACCATGTTGATAGCCACATCAATCAATTGATCTATATTAGTGATTCCTTTATTTTAACAATCATTTATAATGGAATTTAAGGATATCCCTGAACCATAGACTATAGAACCGTCTATTGCAACTATCTGCTATTATTTTGAAGCCAACCATAAAGCTAATCTTGGAACGACTATATAATCATTCGTTTTATTATTTAAAATATAGTTATTCGTCATTTCCTACATTAATTTGAATGTTGATTAATCAAGACTAAATGTTTAGTATATGAGTTGTAGTTGTTGTTGCAGAGAATCTGTGTCCATAATTTTTGAATTTGAATAAATTAATATTTATTATGACTGAATTAGGAAATTATCTGATAGGTATTTATTATAAAGTGAATTATCATTTAAGGCAAAACCATAGGTGAAGGAACGTTTGGGAAGGTGTGTCATGCCAAACATTAAGTGTTAGGTCATGATGTGGCTGTGAAAATTTTAGAAAAGAAGCGAATCAATGATGAATTAGATATTGAAAGAGTCAAGAGAGAAATAACCATATTACAGATGTTGCACCATCCAAATGTGGTGTAGCTCTATGAGGTTACCTATGTAATTATGATTAGATGATTGAAACTGACACACATATTTATTTATTTATGGAATATGCAGACGGTGGAGAATTGTTTGATTATATCGATTTAAAGAAGAGGTACTCTTTAAGTAATCTGTTTAGGATCAACGAGGTTGAAGCATGCAAATTCCTACATGAAATCATTTCAGCCATCTAATACATTCATTAGTTGAGAATAGTACACCGAGACTTAAAGCCTGAAAATCTACTTTTAACAGCTCAAAAAAGTATTCTGGTTGTTGATTTCGGACTCAGCAATACCTATGAGGATACTCTAAAGACAGCTTGTGGAAGTCCATGTTATGCTGCTCCTGAAATGATATAAGGCAAACCTTATTATGGATTATAAACTGATCTCTGGAGTTGTGGTGTTATCCTCTATGCCATGTTATGTGGGTATCTCCCTTTTGAGGACAACAATACCTAAGTTCTCTATAAGAAAATATTGACTGCTGATTTCCATATACCTAGATATGTTTCTTTAGATGGCAAAGACCTTATTAAAAATATTCTCACAGTCGATCCTACTAAAAGGTTTACTATTGAATAAATCAAATAACACAAGTGGTGGCAACTCTGGAAATCTGATGTATCAATTTTATTTAAATAGAATACCCAAATGACTCCCTTTAAAGCTTCTTTTAATAAGATCTCTTGTACCCTCTTGCCCAATAGTATTTATAAATCATGTCTGAAAAAAAATATAGAAAGGAATATTTCTGAAGATGTGAAAACCTGTTGCGATACTGCTCAGCAATCCATAGATATTCAGTTTACAGATAAAGAAGACTTCATTAATAAGTCAATCATTAAAGAGGAAATCAAATAAAATCCACCTCCTGAAGATGAAGCTTTAGATCAAAAATTTGTTAATTCTGAAGATCAATATGAATTTTAATAGTCTATGAGATCATTAACTAGATAGAAATCAAGTCAGTCAATTTAGTCAATCACTCATTTACACACCTAAATTGATTCTCCTTTAAAATAATAAAATCTGCCCATTACGACTAAACCCACTGTGCCAGCTAAATAATAAATATCTCAAATTAATAAAGTCATACCAAAAAAGCCCGTTTTAACTTAATAACAACAACATGCTTTATAATAAAAGAAACCTGTCACAAAAATAGGCCCTTCAAAATCCTTACATGAGCCTCCATATTTTGAGAGTAGAATAGCTAAATAACCAAACACACCAAGTACAAAATAATCAATAAACAATACATCAAACTCATAAAACCCATCAATAAATACTTCTATAATTAGTCATCAATTGAAAACCGACATCCCAAAAAAGAATTCTATACCACCTGTTAAATTGACTGTAATTTAAGAATAAATAAAGGAAAATAAGGAAAAGTCTCATTCTCTTAAAACTTAGCCGACTCAAACTAAATAATAATAACTTTAGTAGCAAGCGTAATAATAATCATAATAATAATAATAATAATAATAATAATAATAATAATAATAATAATAATAATAACAATAATAATAATAATAAACAAAATAATAATTTAATATAAACAAACCTCAAACTGTATATAAAACACCTATCAAACAAAATACACCATAAATCAGTTAAACTAAAAGATCGTTACATTAAAAATAGGCAGCAAGTTTACAAATGGAAAGACAATCGTTTCATACTTAATAATCAGCAGTAGAAGAAAATGTTACATTCTAATTTAATGATAATCCAAAACCTACAATTGAGAATACGAAGCTTATGGTCGAAAAATTCACTTCGAGACTCAATAATGTCACTATTCCTTAATCATTAAAATAAACTTAAAAATAAGTGGTGTAGGACGTGAAAGGAATTGAAAATTATTATGGTCCATTTAATCTTTCTTTCATTACATCAAAGCATCCCTAATTATTTTTGAATGGAATCAAAAAGTATCTAGAGGAGAAATATTAATTTATATAAATACAAGTAATATTGTTGTATTTATAATTAGAATTAGTAAAATGGATTCAACTTCAATGTTAATGAGATAAGTGGTGATTTAAAATTATATAGAATAGAAAATTTAGAAATATATTACTGCTTGATAAATTGCTAGAACTCTAAAAATATCGCAAATAACTCAGAATTCAACAATATTATCTATGATCTGTAAACTAATTTTAAATTTTGAGTTTGATAAACTATCTTTAAACCATTTTTGAATTTATTATTTTCGTCTTAGTCATAATTTAGATTTTATTATTTATCATTTGAATCAGAAATTAATAATGTATTAAAAATGATTTCCAATGACAATAAAATTTAAATAGAAATTAACACTATCTTTAGTAATTAAATAGATTGTATAAAATTTATAAATGAATCAAGAACCAATCTTACGTTTATTAACTTTTCCAAAAATCTTTTATTCATGTTTTAGATAATTATATTTTTCTTAACTTCCAGGTTAAAATTTCTCATCAATTTTATTGAAATTCTTTTAATTTTAACAAATTGAATTTCTAATCCTTCTCTGATGGGTAGTTATCTCATCTTTCTCGTTATTTATTTGTTGTATCAATGTTCCAAGCCTTCTATTAGATTCATATTATTTAGGACTACAATCAAATGAATCTGAAAGCATTGAAAAACTAGTATGATGTTCAAATAATGGAGAAGGGTCTTATGATAATACTCTTTTTTTCGTTTTCAAGTAACGCTATGATGCTGTAACCATACTAAGTTTTTATTATAGTTAATTTACAGAATCTTTGTCTTAGTTCTTAGTTAAAATAATAGGTAAAACTATTTTAAGGGGAGGCTTTGGATTTGTTTCAGTGCTTTTTCTATCTCTCTCTTGCTTAATTATTTTATCTATTTGTTATTATTTTATTTAGTTTATTGTTGGTTTTTCTAATCCTTTGTTTTTAACCATTTGTCCAACCAAAATCGTGGATGACAATCTTTTGATTCTATTTTTAGGGACACTTTTTCCAATTTATGAGAAGGATGATCTTTAACTACCCCTGAATAGAGGAGACGCATCGGTTTCATTAGGCACTGGTTTATTAAATTTTAGTATATCTCTAACACAATCGTCAATCAACTTTTGGTGGTTGATATCATCGTTATCCATAGCTGTCAAATACTTTTTATTATTTAACTCATCATTGACATGTTTATCCAATTATTATGAATCAATAACACATTCTCTTTTTGTCTTAAATGTTGCTGACTTATATTATAAGTGTTATTTAACTCTTTGTAAGAGATTCATGCTTTATTATTTTTGATTTTCGAACCTAAAAGTAGTTCCAGTTCGATCTGTTGATTAATGAAGAGAAATAGGTATTGTAGTAATCATTAAATTTTTATTTAATAAATATAATTGAAATTGAGTATCAACCTTTCTAATAAATATGACACTTCAGCAATGCAAACTTTTAATTCTTTCACTCGTTAAGAACTATTTATAATACTGATATCCAACATTATTTGATGGGAAGTCAAACGAGAATTATTTATTGTCCTATTTATTCGTACTTTTATGATATCTTTGTGATAACAATTTGTGAAATTATGAAGCTTTTCGTTAGATAGAAATCTTAGGGGAATTGTTTTAATTTGATAATGCATCAATAGAGTTCAACCTTATTTAAAATTTAGTTTTAACAATTTTTGTTGACTTTGTTTTCTATTATTACTACTCGAAATATTTCTAAAAATAAGTATTAGTAAATATTGGTTCTAGAGTAATTTTTTTTTATGTCTAAGTAGAATTATTTCTAAATTTTCTACCGCTTTCAAAATCAGTAAAATTTTCATTGGCTTCTTAGTTATTCTTTAATGAGTTGACTCGTTTCAATCTAAAATTTTTTAATTTGATTAAAAGAGATAAAAATTATAATTTAGTTATTTCATCCCAGCATCTCTCTACTATGTCTTTTCTTGATATTCTAAATAAGGATCCACTTATGCTCATACATTTTACTGTTGAATATCTTTGGATGTATACGCAATTATTTAAGGGAGATTAAATTTTTGGATCTTCGTCTAATGATCTCATTAATGATTCTTCACCAAATATTTAACCTTCATTTAGTAAACAACTTAGCTATTATCTTTAATTAATCATACATTCTTTTAGTTCTTTTTCTCAGTATTCTTTTCTCATCCTATATTGTCTTGATCATTTCAAATTGTCCATCTTTTACAATATATAAAAATTACGAGTCATCATTTTCCTTATACACAATTTCATTTAAACAAAAATTTTATAAAAACATATAACAACTAAAGCTTTTAAACTAACCTATAGTCCAAGATTGAAAGCAATCTAACTTATTTAATAGCTGTAACTTAATGTCCAAATTATCTGACCTATATTTACCAATAATCAATTAATAGTCCTGTCTGGTTATATAAGCAATAGAACTTTACTCCAAAGCAATGATGGTCTGATTTCTTTTACAATTTTAGTTATGCAAGGCATTTTCTCCTAACTGATCATATGGCCTACATGATAAGTGAAGTAATACAAAATATCGTTGATTTTCTTCAATTCAAATTGACATTCTTCTAATTCCATATACGCTCCTAACCGACCTGATAACAAAATATATAATTTATTTCCAACATCACCAATCTTGAATAAAACCTCGTTTTCCTATAAAGTCACAAGTTTAAATTTTTCAAACATTTTTTCTAGCAAATATTACCCATGATCTCTTTTGATGTCTTTCATTATTTAAGTTTGCAGTATGTTATTCATATAATTTTTATTATAATAAAAATTGGAAAAATAATAAAACAATACTATTTAAAACAATTTGTGGATGAGAATGATAGAACTTAAGTTTTAATGAACTTTTAAAAGGAGATTAGAATAAATAATTGCACAGAAAAATGAATTTCCTATTTATGAATTATTATGAAAATGGAGGATAACATTTCTGAAAAATCGAATTATCTTAGATTAATAATTTTAGATCAACAGTAATAAATTATTTTTCTTATAATAGGATTAAAAATATCCAAAATTAATAAATTTAAATTGAATATCATGTAGATATCCTGAAATTATTAAAATCTTTGGATTATAATCTCCATTTTTGATTCAGGGAATAGTTAAGATTTTTGGAATTGAGTTAATTATATTTTTTTATTCCAATATTTAAAATTTCTATGCAAATTACTTAAACCCAGTTATTGGAATGGGTTAAGGATGGAGATATAAATACATTAAAAAAGCATTTTGAATAAGAATTGAAGTTTGCACATAAAAAATTATTGGAATTTTTTAGTATGGTTGATGATTAGAGTAGGAGTGTAGTACATTGGGCAGCTTACTTGGGATAATATAAATTGATTAAGTGGTGGTGTAAAGTATATAATCAGATGATTGATCTGAATAAGGGAGATATGCATTCATATACTCCATTGGAACTAGCGAGCATCAAAGGGTAATTAGATCAGCTTTATTTTATTTAGATATTCTGGGGAATACAATCCAGAAAAATAGGAGAAAACCATAAGGTTGCTTGTTGAGAATGGGGCATCAATACCTTGCTAATGCAGTTATAAACCGAATCCATTGCATTGGGCTTTTTATTATGGTAATAAGGAATTAGTGGATTACTTGATCTAATAAAATTTCAATTTGCAATTAGAAACAGAGCAGTAAGGAAATTTCCCCATCGATTATTTGTTTTTAGAGAATCGCCCCGAAGAATATAAGTATTTTAAAATAAAGTATGAATTAGGAAAGACGTTTGGGATATCTTTTAAAATGTGGTGATTGAATATGCTAAGGTGACTGCCTAATAAGAATTGAAGAGGAAAGTTAAAAAAAGAAAATAAAGAAAAGCAACAACAATTACATCATAAATTCCGCTGATGCAAATTTTCTAAAAGGAAGACGAGGAATCATCACCAGAATCAGAACCATCAAGATATGGAATACCATGTTTAAATATCTCAAATATAAACAGAAGTTATGCCTCGAATTCATTTCTCTCCAAATACACGAATGTAAAAAGTACTTAAAAAACACCTAACAGCCAATAAGTCTTATAAAGTCAATAAGTTTTAAAATATTAACAAAGGACAGGATGTTAACGAGTTTAATAAAAAAATTTGGATGATGTTGGCGACATTCCTTTATATGATGATTCTCGTATTGAAATGAAAGAACCAGAGGAAGAAAAGATACCTGAAATCAAAGTGTTCAATTCTAGGAATACGAATAATAGTAAAATAATTACAGAAACCAATCAGGATGAATTACTGTAAATACAATAATACAATTCCAATAATAATTAACCTACTTTAGTGGAACCTACACTCAAGGTATCTTAATCAAGACGAGAAAATCACAAACGTCATAGGACCAAAACCACATTGATATTTAATGACGATGTAGAAAAGGGATCCAAGGAAAAATTTTAAATATTTGATAGTAAAGAAGAACTCACTACTCATTAAAAATATGAATGCAGACTTTAATATTGGTCAGCAAGACAAGGTAATCAGGATTTCTTCATTTATTTTCTAAAAAGAAAATGCAATCCATTTCTCAATGTTTATTAAGGATTTAACTGTTTACATATTGCAGCTTATAAAGGCAAACTTAAAATATTAAAAGTAATTTTAGAAAGTGACTACGAATATTATGATAGTTCAGGAATGTTGAATAAAAATGCTAAAAAACCAATCAATACTATCTAATTTAATAAAGTAATGAATTCTGATCTATTAGTCCAAGAAAGAATGCATCAATATTCTCACTGATTAAAATCCATCAAATGCTCTTCATCTTGCTATTGAATAAGAAAAATATCGCTGCATGAAAATATTAATATCCCATGGGATATCAGTAGATGCAGTTAATAGTAGATGTTTAAAACCATTTGAATTAACATATAATTCTAAATTTATGGAATTCTATGAAGAGAATATCTAAGTAAAATAAGAGATCAAAAGTTTGACTGAGTTAGGATATTAATACGTAATTTAGACCAAGGGAACATTAAGTGTGGAATAAGACATTGTTTTTTTACAATTATAAAATATTAGACAGACATTTTTAGAGAGGGGGTGGAGTTTTGAATTTTTGATTTTCCATGCTCCAAATCTCGATTAATTGGATTTATACAATGAGAATTAGCATCACAAGAAAGTTAAGCCATTGTATCACTACTACGTCTTGAAAATACCTCCTGATTCCATTTACAGATTGGCAGATCTTTATTAAATATCGTGTTATAATTTTCAAACAAAAGTAAAAATTAATTAGATTAATAATTTAGTATATTTGTTAATTTAATTATCAGAAGAGTAGGTTTTTTGAATTTCCTAAAGACTTATAGGTGTAAATGTTGATTTTGAAGACTCTGAATGATGAATTCGACGTTGAAAAATTCGTTTTGGAATAATTAATTATATCTCATTTTCCTTTAGAAGATAAATAAAAATGCGAAAAGATTACTTAATTTTGGGATGAGCAACAAAACAATTGTATTCGTGATTCCTTAAGATATGAAACTCAACAAATAGCTTTAAGACCATTGCATGCCATCTCCTCTTACTTTGGTCCAGTAGTTGCTTGGTACATAGCTTTGAATGTATAAATCATAGGCTGGTTGATGATCCCATCCCTTTTTGGAGCAGCCTTAGGAATTTATATCATTATAATTCAATAAGTAAAGTAACAAATATCAATATATAAGTTCGTCAATTGTACCATTTTATGCATTGCTAATGACTCTTTGGTCGACTTTGTTCATGGAGAAGTGGAAGAATAGAGAGTCAGAATTGAAATTTTGCTGGGACATGCATAAATTCAAGTAGACTCAACCACAAAGAGTTATGTATACAGGATAATACATCATAAATGAAGCAACCCATACTGTTCAAATCTATGATTATTTTACAACCTTTAAAAGAAGATTAATAGCAGAAGGTCCTGTCATTTTAATAGGAATTGCTATTATTGTTTTGAGTTTTTATGCTTTTAACATTTGGTTGGAGGAGTACTCAGATAATTAAGTTATGTCCATAGTTATCAATTCATTGAATGGTGTTTCTATGACTGTGTTTTGTGATTTATACAAAAGACTATGCAAATCATTGGTCACTTGGGAAAATCATATGTACGAATCAGAATAGGAATATTCTTACATTTTAAAAGTGTTTCTGTTTGAATTTCTTATCTCTTATGTTTCAGTTGTGTATGTGGCTATCTTTGGAAATGATGCTAGTTCATTAAGCGTGTCAGTCGCTAGCATCATCATAACAAGAGGAGTAATTTCAAATGTCAAAAGTAATCTACTACCTTTTGCCATATTCTAATTTGAAAAGCGTTCTCTAACCAGATTATTTACTGAATTCAAACAATTATTTGCAAATAGAATAAAAGAAAAAAAGAATATACCTAAAATTTGTAACCAAATATTTTCATCTGAAAAACTATCTAATGATTAATAGTTACTCTTCTTATAAGAGCTCGAGATAAGTAGAATCAAGGGTCCATAAAAATTACTGTATGATGAATATACAAATATTGCCATTCAATTTGGGTACACTACTATGTTTGCCCCAACTTTTCCTGCAGCTCCTTTATTTTTCATGATCAATTGCTATATCAATTTAAGATCATCAATATATAATTACTAACACATTTTAAAAAGAGAAAGAGCTTAGGCTGCTGATTCTATTGGAATTTGGTTGTAAATATTTCAAATCTTAAATTATTGTGCAACATTCATGAATTGCATCGTAATTGGAACTGTAAATAAGGAGTAATTCAAAGGGATTATTGGAAATTAGGACGCCTTAGTTAGTGCCTTTTTTTTGGCAGCCATAGAACATATATTACTCTTGATTAAATACATTTTAGATGTCTCAATTCCTGATTGCCCTTATTGGGTAGAGAAGGAATTAAGACGTTATGCATATCTGGAAGAGAAATATTAGAAAATTGGTTTGTGATTTTTAATTATTATTTCATTTTAAAATTCTTTTTTTATATAAAATACAACTTAAGAAATAAGTTTATATTCAAAAGTGTAAAATATTATAACGTAATGGATGAACAAGAATTAATTCAATTTCATGTATTCATTTTTATTGAAAAGCAACATAAACAATAATATCTAGATTGAATTTAGGAAAAATTATCATATTCAAAAATACTTTATAAATTAAATTTCTATTACATAAATTATTGTAGTTTGAAATGATATTTTAATGAGTTCTTTGATAAATGAAAATTATTTCCCAAGTCTTTCCTATAAAAATAAAAAAATATAGTCATACATCCAGATTTTGATTAATTTGATATATAATTTATCTACCAGAATTGTATAAAACTTAACAAAATTAAAAAGTGTATTATTTAATAACCTTTTGTCAAGACTAGTTTTGCTAGAATTAAAAACTAGGGTTTTAATAGAAAATCATAATAATTGAATGTATGAAAAATTTTGAATTAATTTTATAAACAAATTCAAATGTACCCTCAATCCTATAATAATCATGATGATTTGATGAGATAGCAATTCATCACAGAAAATAATGGATTAATTGAATAGTTTAAAGCTTAGTTGATAGATCCAATAACTGGTAGGAAAAGAAATGAAGTCAAAGTTTAAAATTTTGCTGATGGCGGAAGATATGAGGGAGAAGTTGAGGGTGAATTGAGAAAGGGATACGGAATTTACTATTTTGCTAGTGGGTATTACTTATTACTATATTTATAGGGATGTTTATTTTGGACAATGGAATGATTCATTCAATGGTCAAGGCACATACATTTATCGAAGTGGTGAGAGATATTAGGGATAGTTCAATAAGGGTAAGAAGGATGGACAAGGAATATATTGGTATATAAATGGGGCAGAGTATGATGGCAGATGGGTTAATGATTAGAAGGATGGATTCGGTAAATTCAGATATCCAAATGGAGATATATATGAGGGCAATTGGGTAAGAGGAGTCAAATCAGGACAAGGAACTTTAGTTTTAGCAAATGGAGACCATTATCAAGGGGAATGGAACAATAACATGAAAAATGGACAGGGAACTTATATCTTCGCATCCGGATCAAGATATGAAGGATTTTGGCTCAATGATCAATTTCATTAATAAGGAGTGTTTAGTTATTCAAATGGAGATAAGTATGAAGGCATCTTCGAAAATGGATAGAAAACAAAATAAGGAATATATAAGCATGCCGTGGATGGATCTGAGTATTAAGGAGAATGGTTTAGAGATTAGAGAAGTGGAAATGGAAGGATGAAATATGCAAATGGAGACATCTATTAGGGATTTTGGTAAGAAGGAGAAAGGTAAGGAAAGGGTTCTTACAAATACAACAATGGGGATTAATACGATGGAGAATTTGTGAGTGATTAAAAACATGGATATGGAGTCTTAAAGATGGTTTCAGGTGATATTTATGAGGGAGATTGGAAACAAGGAAGAAAGAATGGAAAAGGATTATATAAATTTGCAAATCATGATATTTATGATGGTCATTTTGCTGATGGATTAAGGTAAGGATATGGAAGATACCAATGGAATGATAATTCCTATTATGAAGGTATTTAAAATCATGAAAGTATTAGGTAATTGGGACAAGGATAGAATGAACGGAAAAGGATTATATGTGTCTCCTGATGGAGTGTAAGCAGACGGAATATTTGATAATGATAATTATGTAGGACCAGCTGACTGATAATATTGAATTTATGTATTTATCAGAATATATTGCATCCATCGTCTTTTTTAGTACCTTTCTTTGGATCGGTCTTTCCTTTTGACATCATGGCTGGTGTTCTGTCTTAGGATGAGCTTCTGGGTTTTTGAGCATTCATTTATTATTATTGCAATTTAGCTTTCATTTGTTATTGTTCTGAAGTATGATCTTCAAATTCTTTAAAGGATTATTTGCTAATAGGTTATGTCGTAGGCTAGTTGGGAGCGAATTCTAAATGAATTGAAATGAATTAATTTACTTTCGATAGGTTGTTTAACCTGGGTGCTTTGAGATGGTAATTTATTTGGTTGTTATGATAATTATTGCTATTGTTAAAGATTTTTCGATTAATTAATAGTTTTGGTCAAAATGTCAATGTGCTCTTCTTGTTTTTTGACTTAATCAACTTATTAAGTAGGTTAATCTAATTATTATTATTAAATTTATTATTAATTAGATTATTAAGTCTATTATTGAGGAATTAGATTTTCAACCGGTATTTCTCTTTTTTTCATATCTTTACTCTTGTTTTCATCATATCCATATACTTTAAAGCATATCTAAAATATATAAAAATGTTATTACAGTTCCATTAATCAAATAGTTCAACTAAGTCTCTGTGAGTTAATCGAAAGTGTGTTACTAATCATAATTATAAATTGGATTTGGATGAGCTCCTGCTAACTTGAATTAATAAGAAATAATTTATACTGTTTTTGTTTTATACAATTCCTTCTTTTTCTCTTCGACTTATATCGAATATTCTACGTAAGTATCTTTGCATAAATTTTCTGGTAATCGTGCACTCTCAATTGAAACTCTAAAATCAAATCTTCTACCAACCAATTCTGAGGGATCTTCCACTGGAGGTTCTATTCCATCTTCAATATCTTCTGATAAATTTCTCTATCCTGTTTCATCTGTAGGTATTAGATTAACCTTCAGAGTTCCACATTAGAAGTGTTCTCCTACTAATGTTAAATCGCAGGGATTGTCCATTAAATAAGCCAAGGCTTATAATTTAAGGAAACCAGAGCCAATCACTCTTGCTTCAGGTGGATCCCAAAATGGATCTTAATCCTTTGGCAATGATAGTAATTAATTTGATTCGAAGTATCTTTCCAATAAATCCTTTATTATATAGTATCTATTTGAAAACTTATGTAAATCCCAATAATATATTTATCCTTCCTCTTTGTTGTTAACCTATATTTATATTTATCCTTTTTGTGCATTTTCTTCTGTAAATTAAGAATATTCTTAGTCATCTGCATACACATATTTCAATCTTGCTTCTAATGTAACATTGCGTTTAAGTTCCTTGGCAATCAAATTGACTTCCAATACTTTAGGCAAATACTTTTGTAATTTATTTTCAATAAAATTCTTTTCCTTAATTCTGTATTTTTTCATAGTTTCCTCATCTTCATATTACTTCCTAGCCTTTTCTCTTTATAATTATTTTTGTAATGTTTCTTCTTCTAATTTCTTTCTCTCTTCTATTAATTTCCTTTCTTCTTCAGCCATTAAAGCTCTATTCAACATATCTTTGTTTTGCTCTTCCAAAGCCTTCATTTTTCTATCAAAATCTTCCTATTATTTCTTCATTTGTTCTTCATACAATCTTTATTCTTCCTTTCTTTGTTCTTCTAATTCCTATTTCTTTCTTTGCATCTCCTCATGTACTTGCTTTTCTGCTAATTTCTATTGTTCCTATCTCTTTTCTTCCTCCTTCTTTTACATTTCCTACTATGCTAATTCCCAATCAATCTCAGGTCCCTATTCAACTTATTCAGCTCCTGGAATTTGAACCAAAAATGTTGTAGTGGTTCCAAAAATAATTCTATCATTGTGATTAAGCAAAGTGGGACCTGTGATTGGAGAACCATTAACAAAAATGAAATCCCCACATTCTTTGGTGAATGGACTGATTTCAATAACTCCATCTTTATTCCTGATTACAGCATGATTGGGTTGAACACACATAGCATTTACAACAATCTAAGGAGTTGGATTTCCATTAGGTCTTCCAACGTGAGTTTCCTCTTAATTTAATGATTTCAATATCTTTCTATTGAGTAAGGGATCTTCATTCAAATTTACTAAATGAGGATGCTCCTTAATTCCTTCATTCTGTATGTCCTCATCATCTTCTTCTTCATCCTTCTATTTTTGCTTCTACAATTTGGACTCGAATGATTCCTAATTCTCTTACATAATAGTCTCGTTGGTTTCAATATCATCTTGGATTTGAGATAATTGTTTCAACATCTCTGGATTAATTACACCTCCTTTTAATTATTGCTGTAACATCATCAACTATTATTTTAGTGAATGTATTTCTTCTTGTTATTCTCTTAACTTCTTATCGACATCGCTTTCATTAACAACTGCACAATTTTTAATCTTTTTGGCTTGATCTGCGTATCTCAAAGTACTCAAGGTTTCTTCATAATTGTCAGTAGCAGGACTCACAGCACAAATCATCAGAGTCTTAGAATTACCTCCCAAAGCATTCTGCAAAATTCTTGTTAATTGTGAATCTCTATATGGAACTACTGCATTTTTTCCTTTGCCCATAGCCTTGTCTGCTAATGCTGCAATAACTTATCCCAACACAGATAAAGATTTGTTAATATTACCAGCTAATAAAATCATCATAATAACAATGTACCTTCTTTCAAACGATCACCCTAGGCTCCAGTCTTTCCTACTTTCTCAGAACCTGCAAGATCCACCAGATTGATAACTGACAACTTCTCTGATTTTCTACCATCTACATTCTTTATCTCCTTAAACTCAATCTATATGATAGTATGGGCTCTTGAAGATCTATTGGATAATATGGAATAATATACGAGGCATTCATTTAAGTTGCAGCAACAGTTCTATGCTTGCTTCCTTCATCCATTTTGGCTTCAATGGCTTCATAAGAATCTACAGGGTATTTTGTGAGTCCTTCGACATACACTCCATAAACTTTGTGTTCTCTGACTTTTAGACCTCCAGTTGGTCTTTTAGGAACAGGTACAAGCAGATCCTACACCTTTTCATTGTAAATTTCAAGCATACTGACTTGTACTTCATAAGCTATTGATTAGGTAATCAAATCAGAATACTTAAATGAGAATCAGGATTTTTTTTAATACGCTTAAAGATCTCCTCGCATGAAATAGGCACGATACCTTTATTTGCTCCATAACCAACCATCGAATAGGATTTACCAGCCTTAATTATTAAAATGATTCTTACTCCTGTTTAACCATATGCGAATAGACAACAATGATAACCTTACCAAGCATTATTTAAAATTTCTTAACCAACTGTGTCAAACACCATTTGTTAGTCTGCATACTTAGTTCCTGGAATAGCTCTGCTGTACCCATTTTCATCATTCTCAAAGGAATCATGAGACCAGAAAGAATAATCAAAAGCAAAATCCCTATTTTTCTTGGGATCCTCGATATCTTAAGTTTTAACTAAATTACTTACCTAACAATATGGTAGTTGGGCCGTTCATCGCCACACATAATTAGCAATTCAACTCAAGTTCACGAGCATTATATGGCCTTACTCTGACTGCCACTTTGACGGACATTATAATATAAAGATTTAATAACTTAATAAAAAAGTAATATAGGATTATTATTTTCAGCGTAAATCGATCGTCTCTGCTCTAGTTATACCATGATCGTTTTTAGAAGCAGATTGAGGAAATACATTCCAAAATCTAAGAGTTTCGTCACCAGCTCCTGTTACTATGTTCTAACCACATGGGGACCCGCTCAAATAGAGAACTCTTTAAGTATGACCTGTCAAAGTAGCTACTTTAGACATATTATTATAATTCCAAACAATTATTTAATTTAAAGAATATCCATGGGTTGAAACTAATTCATTCGAATTTTTGGAGAACATCAAGTTACAGACTTAAGATCCAGTGTCTATACAATCTGCTTGTTCTAAAGTTTAGGTATTAAAGAATCTAATGCATCTATCAGCAGTGCCACCTCCTGAAGCCACAATGTTGTGTTAATGGGGTGACCATCCAATGGCTTTTACTGCAGCCTAATGTTAGGAGAAATGAGTGAGTTCCCCTTGATTCTTTAATGACCAAATAAATAATTTATTGTCGTTGCCACCAGATGCCAATAGTTATTCATCAAATGACCATTTCAAACCACAAATTTCTTATTTATGGCCTACATATTTTTAAATTGACTCATTTGGACTTCTGACATCTCTAACCAAGATATTACGATCTCTGCTTCCTGTGGCCAATAAATAATTGTTCCAAGCCAAAGATCCTATTCTTCCTTGATGTCCATTCCACTTTCTAATGACTTTCTATTTAGCAACATCCCAGACTTCAACTTCTCCCATGCTATTTCCTACTGAAAGATGTTGATTACGTTATGACCAAGCCACACTACAAACCATGTCTGGATCTTCAAGAGTGCATAAGCGAGAGACTTTAGACGTGTGACCTGACCAAATCAACACTGAATTTTCAAGTCCCACTGCCAAGGCATTAAAAGGGGACCAATCTAAAAGGTTGAGATAGAAATCATCTTATAGATTTTCAGCCTCCAAGATCTTATAAGGGCGTTTATTGATTTTCCTTGGTGGTTTTTCAGGTTCAACCTTGGTTGGAGTGGCTGAAAACTGTAATCCATTATTAATAATTTTATTCATTTCGTTTTATTTATTTTCGGTTTTATAATTGAAAAGTTTCTAATTTACTGCAGGTTGTTTGCCTAGAATGGAGGACTGAAGCAAATTGTTGTAAAGAGTGCCTTAACTATTTTCTTCACTCATGAAGAGTTGATAGAGATTCGATTACACATTACGAGGAATAAACTACATAGAAAACAAATGTATACGCGATCACTCTTATCTTTTGGACTGGTCCATGACTATTTGTTAAGATCGACTTCCTTAATGGGTGTCTAATCATTCATTGAAAAACAAGCAAATTTGTTAATAAAATTTATCTGTTATTTAATTTATATCAATAAAATATATTGTCTAATCTGACCCACCCCCTCATCCTTCACCAATTTTCTTAATATTCTTAATATTAATTAATCCCACTTCAAAATGATCAATGAAATCAACATAGTCTTTCTCAGTCAACTTCTGAATAATATTCATTTATCTCAATCTCACATCGACGAAGCTGCTCGCTTCTATGTCAGGCACAGCCACGATCAAAAATCTCAGCAATCTCTTTGCGAAGAATGGAGCAACCATTTCCATTTTGCCAAAGGAAATGTCGACGGAGACAAAGTCATCGTCTCACTACTCTACATGGCACAAAGAGTAATTGAGTCTATGATCAAATTTGAAGGAACATGTAAATTTACAACTCACAATTTAGACTACTTAATGAGTGAAGCATTCAAAAAGTAAATAGTCAAGGCTTTTGTTATACTTAAAGATTACAATTGGACCCAAGATCTAAAACAACAAATCAAGGACCTCATTAGACAATGGGAAGAAAAACAACTCTTCAATAAATCAGAAGTTTAGAATATGCTAGAAATCATAGAACCAACCAAAATGAGCAAAGAAAAAATGAAGAATCAATTTGCTCCACCTTTGTTCCTTATTGAGTTCGCCAAAAACTATAGAGTAAGTAATCTTAGCACTACTTATTTTTAAGGAATTATAAATTCGCTAATAAAAAGTCAATAAATTTGAAATGAGCCTCGATGAACTTATCAATTACGGGGCATAAGACAAAATTAACTTGTACAATTCCTTATTAGATCAATATTCCCAATCAGTTGAAAATCTACAGAAGTATAGACAACTTGTTATCAAAGACATTCTAGATAAATTGAAGGAATTAGATAAAATCCATTCCAAAAGCATTATTGACTTAAAATATCTTGCAATGAGGGTCCTAGAATTGAAAAGAAGAAGGGAAAAGAGAATACAAAATGAGTACTACCACGAATAATGAATCAAAATTTCATAATTTAACTACAATACAATCAAAATCTTCCCTCCACTTATTTCTTATATATTACAAAACTTATGTTCTTCATCTATTATTATCTTGGAGTTTGTATATGCTATCTAAAACTATTAATTTATTCGAAATCATCCTCTAATTTTATTTGTTTAGTGTAGTCCTTAGAAATTCATAATTATATAACTTACTCTTGGATTGTCATCTTAAATTTTAATCTTTTTAAATGATTTAAGCACACTATCATTGAAATAAGAATCATTTTCGAATTCCTGAACCTATATTTTGTTCAATGAATTATCACACTATTTTTTCACAGAATCTATCTACACAATATTTTCATCGGTTGATGACTGTATACTAATAGTTAAGATATGATCTATCGGCAATAAATACGAACTATCTATTGAATTCTTCTTTTCTTTTCGAGGACTCATTAATTTTTAACACTTTTTCATCTACTAGTTTAACACTACATTCTATCGATTAATTAAATTTTCCTTATCTTCAATCTTATTCCTCCATTTTACCTTGCTATTCTAAGCTAACCTTTAATTATAAGGTTCATTCTCCTATTAAATTTCATTCATGTTGTATCTAGATCGATGAGGACTAAATTAAGGACTGAAAGTCCATTCCTTTTTTATTTCTTTGGCTTTCGGAGATCTCTAGCTAAATGGGAGGTCTCTTTGAGTGTAATATTCTAAGTAATTGGCAAATTAGTTCATTTATGTTAACGGTAATATAAATTAAATAATATAATTAAATAATTGTATGAACACTTAATAATTATATTGAATACCTGGAAAAAAGAGTGATCGTGCACCTCTTTTAATGATTCAACTTGTTTGTTATCATTCTTCATTATATATAGATGTAGAATTTAATATGTGATAATATTTAAGATATTCCAATAAATCAACTATTTACACTGAATTTTCACTTATAATTCATAAGAATTTGTAAGCTTGCTTTATTTTAAATTAAAATATGAATTAAAGAATTAATGTTATATTATTAATAAATTTATAAAAATTTCCGAAGATATATAATGATCATTGCTTCTTTTTTGATTAATGGTATTGCTAATGAGAAAAATCAATAAAATTTAATGGACTTTCAGAGTGATTAAAAAATTCATTTTTAAAGCTATTTTGATGGCTAAATTAGATATTCCTTACACTAGAACAATTATCTGATGTTGAGATAATAGATTGTACCATAGATTATTCATTGGATTCGCATTTCCTAGCTTTGAATTGCTATTATTATCGTTCTGTCTTGTGTTTATACGAGTTTCGAAATTCAATTTAATCTGGTTGAGGTTCATGTTAATTTTCATTTAGTTAAGTAACCATTTTTTGAAATTGTTGAAGAACCTTGGGAGTGGTGATTTATTCATCCTTGTATTATTCAAAGAGATTGTCATCATCAAATTTAATAATATCAAATTTGATTGGACTAGGTTGCCTTTTCTATTCTTTAAAATGTAACTCAATTTGTCTATTAATATTTTATTCGACCGTAAATAGCACAAGTTGAGGAAAGGATTGGATTGACACAACTTCATTACACAACTTCACCATTTATGTTACACTTCTTCCTAATCTAAGAGTTTCAGTATAGACTTAATATAATTTAATTGATTGTTCACTTTCCATCTATAGCATTTGATTAATATGAGATTGTAGGTAAGTCTGGACCTTGGGATAGAAAAAATATAGATCATTCAACAGTTGCACACAGATGTGTTTGGTAACTTCTATATTATGAAATTTTGTTAAAGAAATGTCTAAATCTTTGTAGATTTTGACGAGGACTTGTATGGTAGATACGATTTTGTGGATGATGAAGGTTTTCTGAAATTCTTCTTTTTCTTCAAAATCGGAGAGGGCATTTAGGAAAAACAGATAATTCTCATATCTAATTTAAAGGTACGAAAAGAGGTTTTGGACGATATTAATATGCAATTAAGCAATCGGATCTTCCGGCTTCTTTTATTACTTATTTTTGATTTTGTCATAGAGATGATTATTGCACACAGCATCAACAAAGATGTTGCATTATTTCTGTGATAATATACATAAAATATTGAATATACTTCTAAACAGTAATGCAAGACATAGCCAATTTTTAAGGCACTGATCCATTTGTTGTATTGTATTTAACATAAGATATCGTAGAATTTATTAAATGCATCTAAAGGTAAAATCTTTTGATCTTAACCTTTCAAACATTCGATAATTGGCTATATAAAAATTTATAGTACTTTCATGTATTTTGAGGTTGGAACATCGCCATTTTCACTGGAAGTACATTAGTAAAGAGAATAATCAAATTCATCCTTTGATATGAGTGAAAGGTTTCTGAATATTTTTAACATATTTAATAATATAATTAGTTAAATATTTCACGTTCCTCTTCATTGAATTCAGCTTAAATATTTAGTGCTTCTCAAAGGGCTTCCAAACCTTGGTTATTTATTGGTTTTTGTATTTATTTTGTAAAGAAATTATCCATTATATTCTAAGAGTAACTTGTGAAATGTTTAAGTTATAAAAAAGCGAACTTTTTCTAAGAAATCAGTTATTATGTTATAAATAAATGAGAATTCTGGAAGGTATTTAGGAATTTCTATAATAATATACTCATTTCATTTGAATTGGTTACCATAAGGAGATGGAGAGATGCTCTTATAGAAATTGATTGAATTGAAGTGTTTCTAAATTTAAATAATCTTATTGTGCAATTTTCATCATTCAAATGTAAAAATCAAAACAAAATTTATTAATTAAATTGCTATTAGATAGGAATTATGAGTATAGAGGAAATCAAAAAACAAGTAGAGTATTATTTGTCAGATAAAAACTTGTCCTAAGATGAATTCTTCCACAAATAGATCGCTCAAAATTAGGATGGGTATCTCCAACTCTAATTTATACTTAAGTGCAATAAGGTTAAGTAATTGAAAGTTACTCAAGAATAACTGGTGGAAGCAATCAAAACATCAACTGAAGTGGAATTAAGCCCAGACTCAACAAGTATTTGTTTATATCAAACATATTAGGTGTTAGAAGATTAAACAATAAGCCTTTACCAGAATTAATTATTACTTAAACCAATAAAAAAGTAAAAACTAACAGTGGCGAAGCTGTGGCTGCACAATAATAATAGGAAGAAAAACCTTAAGGAGAAGTCATTGACAATCCCTATCATAATTTTGAACCACTCATTTTTACAGTCAAGGCTCCAGCAGGTGTTGCAGTCAATTGGACTCAAATCACAGAGGCTCTCATGAAATAACATAATATCAGTTCTCCATATGTTAGATATGGAAAGACTGAGGGAAACTTTGCTCTAAATAAACCAAGAACACCTGAAGAAAACATTGTTCGTTTGACATCAGAGGGCATCAAGATAGGAGAACATCAATTGGAAATTCATGTCACAAATGGAGATGATTTGACATAGTTCTGGTCACATCACGGAAAACATTATGAAACTATTATTAAAAGAGCCAAAGAAACCTTTGAACATGGTGGTGCTGGCAAGGGAGGCAACAAAAAATACGAATAAAGGAAATAAAAAAAGGATATAGTTTTTCATAATTAAAAAGTATTTCTTCAATTATTAGAATTAGTATAGAGATATCTCTTAATTGAAGAACATTTTCAAAACTATATTGGCTAGATCTGAAAATAATACCCCATTGAAAGAACCATATCATTCAATGCTTGTTTCCTTATTGCAATATCATGATAAGAAAGACTAAAAACTAAATGGATTGAAACACTTTACTGTTGGATAGCATCCAGATCATGCTGAAACCAGATGTTTCTTTGCTGTCAAAGAAGATGGATCATCTGAGGATTTCAGCAGTCTAAAGTGCATCAAAAATTTAGAAACATCTCTAGGTTTATGAGTAGCATAATAACATTATACATTATATAAATTAAATCAAAAACTTAATTTCTCTATCTTCCAAATTGAGCTTATGAATCCTATTGCTAGCAAGAACATCAGCATCTTAAAATAAGAATTTGATTTATTGTTGAATTATTCTTAAATTACTTCCATAGTTGCTATATAAACAAAAGTTCCTGCCGAAATAGACTAAAATATCCCAGTTATTATATATCCTTGATTTGATAATATCCATCCCATAAGAATTCCAATAGGATTTATGATTGCCTATATAAAGATCATTATTGTTGCACTCTAAATATTTGTATCTATGCAAATAATGATCGATAATACTTGCTTTTTTGAAAGATAAACCTAAAGTCAAACCTTCTGCCCACTTATGACAAATTACTGCTAAGGAAATGCCTAAACATTGAGGTACTTGTTATTCTATTCCGATTGCTAAACCCTCAAAGAATGCATGAATTCCTCATTACATAAAACTTTACCTATGGCAAACTATAATATATAAGGAGTCAAAGAATTGAACTGTATTTCATTCTAATCTTTTGTTGATGGAATTTATTGCTTTCCTGTTTCTGGACTCTCCAATTCCCCAAAAATATCCTGTTGGTTTATCACAGTTATTTAATGAGAATGACTTTCATCATTAGTATGATCATGAATGAAAGCTATTTTTTCAATGTACAAAATCAAGGCAAAACTTAAGACTGTTATTAAACAAGCATAAGGAAATTCATCAAAGGATTCTATCTCCTAAGCCTTATAATTCAAATGAAACTGTTTCATAGATTCGGGCAGCAAATGTATAATCCCGACTGATAAAAATAGTCCTCCTGAAAAAGCTCCTGTCAATTCTAATAATAATTTATTTCCCTTAAAAGCTGTAGATCTCAAGGGAATATTGCCCATTACAATAATCATCAAAAACATCACTATCATACTAACTACTTTTATGGCAAACAAATAATCAATATCCATTATTAAATTATAATTAATAGTAAAATAATGTTTCTTTGCTTATTTTGAATAAATATTCTTCATATTTTTAAATAACACAATTCACCAAAAATATAAAGTAAATAATATTTCTTAATTTATTTGATTTGCAATTTCAGATAGAACAAAGCACAAAAATTACAATAAAAATAAATAAGCTAAATTATTGAAATTACAATGTTAAGTGTGGATTTATCATTTAACTTTTGAACATTTGAAATCCTAAATCTGGAAGACAGCACTCTTTCATTTCCTAGATATAAATTGAATATTATGATGGAAGAATTTCTTTTAACACAAGAATAATTGATAAGTCAATCATAATCATATTGCCATATCCAGAACATAAGAAAAGTTTCTTTGAAAGTCCCAAAGTTGATTGCTTTATCTTCAAAAATTAATGTTATATTTATTTATCATATCACGATTAGTTCACCTTTAGCAACTCGAAAATAATGAATAAAACAAAGTAACCTGTGGTTATAAATAAAGAATAAGCAAAAGAACTATGGAAAATATGATAGGATATTATAATAATAAACACAACATAACAAAAATAAAATTTATAATTAATTGTATTTATAAGATAGCCAAGCACAATAATTTTTTTATCAATTTGAATTTAAACGGCTGAAAATAGAAAATAAAATACCAGTTATCTATTAGGTATTGAAACCCAAAGGAATGAATAAGAATAATAGAAATTTCCTACTGAAATATATTAAATAAGAGTATACTCAAAAATACAAGTATCAAGTTTAAATGAATAAAAGTGTGTTTAATCTTGGATTATAAAAAGAAAATTAAAAAAGCTAGACATTGTTGTAAGAGGAAGTATTAGAACTCAGATCTTAGCCTCTACATAAGCATTTACATATACAATAAATATCATTTCAAAGATACCCAAAATTAAGGGGGGAATTACAATTAAAATCCAGTATTTTAAAAAACAAACTCAATATAATGGGACTTATAACTTAAAATCTATCACCTAAATAATAAGGTTAAACTTCAGGTTTCCTCTAAATGAAAGAGGAGGATTTCTAAATTAATTGAGGATTGTACAATTAATTAAAGGAGAGGCGACACAGGATGAAAAATTAAAGATATGATTATAAATAGATTTCAGATTTAAAAGGAAAATAAAGTGAATATCATATTAGTTTGGATATTTTTTTAAATTATTCCTAGCCACAATTTTTAGGGTAAGTGATTAATACTATATTATATTATTTATTAATTAAAAATTTCAAATATAGGAATCCTATAGAATTGGTAAATTCATAATTGATGACTTAATTGTTTAGAAATATAAATTCATTAAATTATTGAATCTAATGGGGTGTAAAGCATCTAAATAATCCAAAAATACTTCTAAGGATAATCCTCCTAGTATTCTGGATGGTTCAAATGATCTGCCAAAACAGAAACTCTTGACTTTAGAGACTAAACCAGAGGAAAGAAAAAGCAAATAACCAAAATCTTTGGATAAAAGCAAAATAGCTGAATTATTTTAAGCTGAACATCAATAGATTTATAGGAACAAGAAGTTCCAGCATGATTATTTCATTACTGAAGAAAAAGTCTCAGTAAATGGATTTTAAGGAAAGATTTTTGTGGTTGAGAATAAAGTGACAGGACTCAAAAGGATAGCTAAGATTGCTAGAAATACATTGGCTAGTCAATAGATCACTGAATATATAGATTACTTGTAATCGCTTAAAAAACTAGTAAGTTTCATAAAATATTTAGGATCATCCTAATATTATAAAATTATTTGATTTTTATAATGATGACAAACACATATACTTAGTAGAAGAATACTATGATGGAGGAGATTTATATGAGAGATTAAAGACTGAGATGTAGAGTTCAGAGAAAATTCATGTAGCATTTGTATTTTAATAAATTTTGTCAGCTATTTATTACTTGCATTCCCAGGAATTTATACATAAAAACATAACTACAAGTGGAGTGGTAGTAGCCTAAAAATCAAATTTATTAATTAAGTTAACAGGAATTGATGATTTATTTAATATTTTCTAGGAAACTAATTCTGACATCAGTTATAGAGCTCCTGAGACTTTTTCTGATAAATATTAATGGAATAAGGCAGCCGATATCTGGTCTGCTGGGATTATTTTGTTTGAATTAATGTATGGACAACATCCCTTCAAGGATTAAAGTAGATAAATAACAATATAAAATATTAAGAGAAATAATATCAAAGAAGATGTTAATTTGAATTCAATTAGTGATGATGCATATAAGTTAATTAGTGAAATGATTAATCCAGATCCTAAATTGAGACCTAGTGCTAAGGAGTGTTTAAAATTTAAGTATTTCAAGTCTATTAGAAGATCATCTATGAAAATAACAAGTGCCTTATTAAGAGTTAAAGAATTTCAAAGAAAAAATGAATTAAAACTAATATTATTGAGTTTAATGACAGAGTATTTGTTGCCAAAAGAAGAACGTGATAAAATAGCTTAGACTTTTTATAAAATCGATCTCAATAACGATGGCAAAATATCCAAAAATGAATTGTATCAATAATACTTACAGAGATCAGGAAATGAGGAGTAAGCAAGGGAAGAAGTAGAAAAGATATTTTCAGAATTGGATATCAATGGAAATTAGTTTTTAGAATTCAGTGAATTTTTAATAGCATCTTCTAATAAAGCAGTTCTTTTCAATGAGGAAAATCTTAAGAATTTCTTTAATAAATTGGATAGAGATCATAGTAAACAAATATCTGCAAATGAACTCAAAGTCTTTTTTTATAACACTAATTTATCTTAATCAGATTGGCAATAAGTAATCTAATTAGGCTAAAATAAGGAATAAATGAATAATAAAATTTCTTATTAGGAATTTGTTTCTTTGTTGACTGAAAATGAATGATTTTAATATAAATACTGATAATAAATATATCAATTATTTCTTCTAACTATTCTAACTTGATTTGCAACTGGTAATTTAATATGTTATTATTTTTATTATTTCAAATTGTCAATTTTTAAATCAAATCTACAGAAAGGACAAAATTGATTTTTCTGAAGCCATTTTTCAATGCATTTGGCATGAAATATATGCCTATGAATAAAACCTATTATTACTTGCATGGAGTAGTTTTGATTGGTTGTTGATTTGAAAGAGGATCCAAGCAAATTGCACAATTATCTTATAGATCTTTGCATTAAATTTAATTATTCATATTAACGAATTCATCGTCCTCCTTTTTACTCAACGAACGCCCATAGGTAAATTGTTTTTCTCTCATTTCAAAATCTTCAGGTGTTTACTTATCCATTGCTCTCCTCAACTTCGCTCTTCTAATTAAAAAGACACAAAAGCAAAGTAACAAGGAGCCAGCCACACTACAAACAATTATTATAATTAGTTTCATCTAATCTCCCTTGTTATCGTCTGAAATCAAATCCAAACTAATATTGAATTGACCACCTCTTAGTAATATAATCAACCTGTCAGGAATATAAGAATTTTCATCTTCAAAGTAGCTCTGCTTTCTCTGATCTATTTGTATAACATATGGAACGTCTTTCGTGATGGTAGCAGCATCATTAAAGAAATCAGTTGTAGGTAAATACACTAAATCTGGGATAATTAAATAGACTTGTGTTTCATTCTCATCATCTTTGGTCTTATATAAATATTAAAAATTACTGAGATTTCAAGTCTCAAATCTGAAGTGCCATTGTATTCATAATAACAATAAAAGTTGGGATCGTGAGAACCATTTATCTTTATGGCTTTGTCCTGCTCCAATTATAGGGCTCTTTATGAACAGTCCCTAGCTATGAAACCTTATTCGCATCTGCATTCTCCATCGACACATATTCCATTCTTCTGGCAATCTCCTGGACATAGCATCGTTTGCGATCCTCTCAAATAAATATCGAAGGAAACTGGAATATTGGTCAATACAGTAAAATATACTTAATCTTATGAGCTGGGTATTAAGATAAAATGGTTACTCTTTTATTACACATAACTATCAATATTTTGAGATTAGCCTATACCTATCATAATCCATTCCATCATATATAAAATCCTTCTTATTATCTAAAAATGGTGCTTGTCCTTTTAAAAAAAGTAAAGCAATTTGGGCTGGCTAGTTTGATGTTTAATTTAGTTCGATTGAACAATACTGCGCATATAAATTATAGCAATTAACAATAAAAGTTGTATTCGAGGATATTGTATTTACAATTCTTTTTTTGGAATATAAGGAATCTTTGGAAATAGAAATTTCAAAATCGACACTCAATACTTTGAGAAAATTGAGAAGCAACAATCCAATCGTGATAGTATTAAACATAGTAAATTAATTAAATAAGAATATATTGGATGTAAAATTAATTAAGTACATTTACAAATTCAATACATTTAATAATATCATATAGAATACTCCATAATTCTAATTAATTAGTGAACAAGATCATTTTCATTAAGTTTATAAATTTTGAATGCACTTTTTAGTGAATTAAAATTAAACTTTATTATATGGCTATTTTGAGAATTCATTAATTTAAACAATTGTAATTTTCAACTTATCACTTATGGTATTTAATTGTTTTAATATAATTATGATCAATCACATATCTGGAATGGATTAATTTCTGATATGCTAAAACTCTAAATAAAAAGATCGAATAATTTAAATCAAAAAATGCTGTGTTGAATGAAAATTATTGTAAAATATTAAACTAAATTTTGAATGTTATAAATTTAAGTGAGGATAATTCATATAAATTATAATTCTTAAGTTTATTAAATCTCTCAATTTGATAAGTAATAAAAGCATTTAATTTTGCTACTAACCCAGTAATTGGAGAAGATAAAACTTAATTAAGGAATTACTAATATGTTTCCACATAATTTTGATGTGCTAAATCAAAAATTAATAAATATTAATTGGATAATTTTGATTAAACTGTTAGATCAGAAGAGTAATTGGC